CGAGGGGAGACATGATAGCAGTGTTCCAGTATCTCAGAGGCTGCCCCAAAGAAGGGGGAGTCAAGCCATTCTCCAAAGTGCCTGAAGGCAGGACAAGAAGCAACTGGTGGAAACTCATCAAGGAGAGAAGCAACCTGGAATATGAGAAACTTCCTGACAGTGAGAACAATTAACCAGTGGAACAGCTTTGCCTTCAAATGTTGTTGGTGCTTCATCACTGGATGATTTTAAGAAGGGACTGGACAGTCACTTGTCTGAAATGGTACAGGGTCTCCTGCTTGAGTGAGGGTTGGACTAGAAGACCTCCAAGGTCCCTTCCAGTTCTATTCTGATCGGTCCAAATCCACATTTTGGGTGAGGAACTAGGTCTGAGGTTCCTCTAGGCAAGAACTCTTCAGGCCACAAAGCATGCTGGGAAACTGCCTGGGATTCTCCCCCCACCTCCTAACTGTGGTCCCTTCTGCAGCCTGAGGTGCCCCTGAGACTTCCTCGGGGAGGGCCGGGCCAGCTTGTTCTAGCCAGACCCTTGAGAGGCATTGCTGGACGGTGGGCATCTGCCTGGGCTTTCCATGCTGCCCCTTTGTCCTGGGGGTGGGGTTGGTCTCTGGGGAGGGATGCAAAGCTGACCTGGCTTGAGGACCAGCTTCAGCCTGCGGCCATTGTGTGGGTTACGCCCGCAGAAGAGGGAGCACCAGGGGCCTCCCTGGCATTCCCTGACAGCAGCTGCCGCCGCCAGGCTGCCTCTCCACCTCTGAGCTTCTCTCCACCTGCTGAGGCCCGCCTGGCCTGGGAAGGAGGCCCAGGTCCGAGGGGCAGGCAGCCCAGGGACCCTGCCCAGAGCAAGGCCTGAAGCCCTCTCCCTCTCTTCCCCCTGGGTGGGAAGGGCAGGGCTTCGGGGCCAGGTGAGCAGAGCCGAGATGGAAGTAATTTCTCACCGCATGCTAATAACAGCCGGACAGAAGTAAGTGACTGCACAGTTCATTCATGGCACAAAGATTTATCCAGTCACTTTATCCTGTAATTTGTATTCCGGGGAGCTCTGGAGCCGCTGCGCTGCCATCCCCTCTATTTGTTTTCTCCCTGCCTTCCTCCTCCTCCTCCTCCTCCTCAGAACGAGCGATTCTGTCCCTCACCCTCCCACTTAGGCTGGGCGGGTGAATAATTAGTCACACTCAATCAGACCTCCCCCAACACCCACCGCAGGGGCTGACAGCCTAACAAGGAGGAGGGGAAGGAGGCTCTGGCTGGGGGGCTGCCCCTGAGGTCCAGCAGCAGCCCCCACCCTCCCTGGCCTGCTCTGGGGGGGGCTCCCAAAGGAGGACACCACGTTGCCCTCCTCCCACCTGGTTTCGAGATGCAGAGGCAGCCCCTCCTCCCAGGAAGGCAGCCCCCAAGCCAGGGATGAGGCCCAATCCCCAGGCCTGCCATCTGCAGCTGGTCTCACGGCCAGGAAGAGCCCAGGCAATGCATGAGTGCTGCCTGCCTCCACTTCCCCTCCTCCAGACAATCAGCGGGGGAGGCTCCTCTTCAACCCAGGGGGAGGGCATCTTGCTTTGGGCACCTCTGTGGAACCCTTTCTCTAGGGTTGCAGTGGGGGACCCCTCAGCCTCCACTGGTGGGTTTCCTGTGGGGCAGAAAGAGCCTGGAGCAGTCTCTGTCATCTGCTCGTAGCTTTCTGGGCTGGGGGCTCAGGCCAGGCGCCCTCTGTTGGGGAAAGGAAGAAGAAAAAGGTTGCTCTCTCTGTTGGATGGCTGCCTTTCCCCTTGTCTTGGCGGTGGTGCACACCGATCTGTCCTTAGAAGGCGGCACGTGGCTGTGGATTGAGGACCAAAAGCCATCAGCTGTTTTCGCATTCCTGGGCCTCTTCTGGGGGTTCAAAGGGCAGAAGTCCTGGCATTGTGGGAGGCAGGCAGGCAGGCAGGGACAGTGATGGAGGGAGAGGGAAAGAGCCACACAGCTACAGCTACATTACCTGCAAATCAGCAACCTGCAGCCTTCCACTTGCCTATAGACGGACCTTTTAATCTAGCTTTTATTTAACCTAGAATTGTGTGCACACATATATCTGGGTGTGAGAGTGCCAAATGCAAAATTTGTCTGGCAGGCAGGCAATGGCAGGTCCTCAGAAGGGCAAGCCGCCTTTGGTTTAAACAAGCCAACAAGGTAATTAACAGCCACTGAATTCACAGTGCCCAAACGCCCCCCCAAAGCTTCACTGTGTTGGAAGAAAAAGAACCCAACAGGCGTTTCTGCACCAGGGGCCCCTCCAGCAGCCGTGCTTGGCCTCCCCGTCTTCTGTCCATTGCTGAACCCCAACATCTCTGGTTAGCTATTCTTGGCCCCTAAGCTTTTCTTGCAGCCCGACTCATCTCCCCCCCCCCCGCTTACCAAAGCCTCTTTCCAATGACTGGATTTACATCAAACACGATGTTCTTCACCAGCTCCTTTGCGTCATTGTTTGCTGAATAAGCTACATTTGCAGGGCTGCAATTCCAAATTCTATGGCAAACTTAAAGACAGCATATTGAAAAGCGGAACCGTCACCTTGCTGACACAGGTCCGTATTGTCAAAGCTCTGGTTTTCCCAGCAGGGACGTGTGCTGTGAGAATTGGGCCCTAAGGAAGGCTGAGCACGGAAGAATTTCGAATTGTGGTGCTGGAGAAGGCTCTGGAGGGTCCCTTGGACTGCAAGGAGACCCGATCAGTTGATCCTAAAGGGGGAAACCCTGAGTGCCCTTTGGAAGGGCAGATCCTGAAGCTGACGCTCAAATCCTTTGGGCACCTAATAAGAGGACTCACTGGAGAAGACCCTGATGGGGTTGGGGAAGACGGGAGGCCAAAGGAGGAGAGGGTTAGATGAGGTCATCGATGCAATTTGGGCAAACTCCAGGAGACAGTGGGGGACGGGGGGGGGGCTGGTGTGCTTTAATCCATGAGATCCCAAAAAGTCAGACACGACTTAGCAACTGAACTGAACGACAACAAACTCCAAAACTGTTCCTAAACAGCCTGCTCTGACCCGGAATTCAGCCAACTCGAGGCAGACGCCCCTCAAGAGAAAACAGCTGATCTGCCCACTTGGCCGCTGTCACCCAGCTCAGCCGTCAGGCGATTTACAGCTGGGCTGCGGCACTCACCATTCCCTCTTGGAGAGGAACCTGGGCATGGGGGGATGAGGCAGCACAACTCAAGAGAGAGCCCCTCTGCAAGATGGGACCAGGAGAACATCTGGGAGGGGATGGTGCCCGATGCCCACCTGCAACCCTTGCAGGCTTCCCAGGCGTGGCCTGGAGGGGGAGGCCGCTCACTGGCCCGATCTTTCACCTCGAAGGCCTCCCGGAATCCCCCTCCAACATCTTGGCAGCTGTGCCTGCTCCCTGGGCTGGCACCCGCCCACTGGCCTTCCGCGACAGAAGGGGAGGCTGGCGGGCAAGGGACAGGGGCCATCTCTCTGGCTGGCCACTTGCTGCTGGGAAGGTGGGCGAGGGGGTGCCTCGGCAACAGGGCCGCCCTGGCCCAGCAGGGACGCAAGAAGGCCGGAGCAGGCGCAGGATGGCTGGGGGAGGAGGGAGGGGCGCTGCCTGGTACCAAGAGGGCAACTCAGAATTCAGTCTGCCCCCCCTCAACGAGCAGGAACTGCCACTGGGCTCGGGGCTATCCAGGCACAAATCCAGGGTCCCGGTTGTCCCCGGGCAGGCGAAGGGACGGAAGCGCAGCCCCGACAGCAAGGAAGGCGAGGCGGAGCTACGGGAAACCCCGGACTCCCGGGCACCATCGGCGGGAAGGTGCTGGGCAGGAACGGCGCTCTGCCCTCGGGGGGGGGGCAGGAGGGGAGCCGGATTGGGCCCCCGGGGCGGCGCGGACAGGTGCCGACACTCGCTTTCGAGGGGGGGCGACCCGGGAAGAGGGTCGCCGTGCCCCGCAACTCCGGGTCGCCTGGCAGCGAACAAGACCCCCCACCCCGGTAAGGCAGGATCCCCACGAGGAGCCGAAGCGGGGCCCGATCCGAGCCCGCGACCTCCCTCTTGTCGGGGAATCCGCGGAGCCCGGCGGAAAGCACGCGCGCTCGTCTCACGCTCGGGTCCGCTCCGGCGCGGCTCTCCGGCGCCCTCCAGTGGCCAGAGCGAGTCCTCGGCCCGGAGCAAAAGAGCGCCGCCCAACGACGGCGGCCCCGCGCTAGCCCGGATTCCCAGACGGGGCCGGCCTTGCCCGCCGTCCTCGCGCAGCCCGCTCCACCCGGTTAAGTGTAGGGGGGGTTGCGAGCTCGGCCGTCCGTCGGGAAAGGCGACAGTCAACCGAAAGGGGCTCCGCCAACGTAGCCTTTCTAGATACCAGCCGGGGGTGGTGTTGGAGGGCCGGGGGCAGAGCCCGCCATTGGCTGGCCCAGGAAACGCCCGAGAGGGAAGTTTGCCCCCCCCCGCCGGTTGCATTTCCTCAAACTGACCCCCCCCCCCGGTTACGAGAGGCGTGCTGAGCTGGGAGGCCGGGCGCGCCCTCCTCTGCCTTTCCGTTTCTGGTAAATCAGGCCGGTTTTTTTTCTAGAGAAAGGCAGGACCTTCTCTTGATTGGGGGGGGGGGGGGCTGGGAAGCCCAACCTGCAATCAAGCCAATTGAAATGTCTGCGCGCGCGCGTGCACGTGTATGTGATGACAGTGACTCTAAATCCTTGAAAAAGTCCCTGCCTGGTGACTCAGCTGGCCCTGGAAGAGTCCGCATAGTCTAGAGCAGCACTGTGGTTGTTCCCCCTCCCAGATTTGTGTGGGTCAAGAAAAAGGAAACAGCCTTGTCTGGAAGCCCCCTCCCCATCATTCTCAGGTGGCTGTTGGTTCACACTGTGCCCTCGACTCCGGCTGGCCTAGTGGGGAAGAGGTGATGCCCACAGCTGGCTTCCTAAACCCACTCCAGGCCAAGCACCTTCCGGGGGGGGGGGGTTGCAGGTTCCCCATCCCTGCCCCCCTCCCCACAACATTAGTTTGAATCACCCCAAGAACAGAACGTGCTTAACAAAGGAAGAGTTTTATAGAAATGCAACAGAGCTGCTGTCTGAGAAACACACACATGGGAGAGTAAACTTGATCTGATCTGGCTGTTCCAAGGGAAGGGAGGAGGGAGGACAGAGCCCCCCCCCCAAGACTGCAGCCCTGCCAGGCAGGGGGTTTGGACACCAGAGCCAGCTGCCTACCAAAGCCCCCCCCCGCCCGGTCAAGCGGAAGCATCCCTACTCTGGAGACCATCAGACTTTGGGGACTGACCTTCTCAAGAACTCGGCACCCCCCTTTGCTCCCTGTTTCAGCTAGAGCCAGCTCGTCATCTGAGCCAGCTCGTCATCTCGGCCTCCAGGGCAGATCTGGGTGAGGTAGGAGGGGGCTGGGAGTCTCCCCTCCCCCGGCTGAGGCTCGGACCTTGAGAGGTTCTTAGAAAAAGTGGGTGCAGCTCGGCTCCCAGAGCCTCCATTTTAAATCTCAGCCTTCTGAGTTTGCAGTTCCCTTTAAGGGCAGAGAGAAGCCCCCCTGGAGGGGCTTTTCGGTCTTGCAGGGGGGGGGCACCCTGCAGTACAGAGCCCAGGCACCTGGGAGGCTGCTCTTGCCAAATGGGCAGAAGCCTCCTCACCACCTTCCTCCACCTGCACCCAGCTCAGATCACTCCCTCGGGCTGGGAAAGAGGGAGAAGCAGGTCTGCAGCTCCCCACGAGGTGGCCCAGCTTGGGCGACATCCCAGATTAGAGAAGGGCCTGTTGGACCACCCCACGGCCTTCCCCCAGATCTGGGAGGCCACAACACACAGGCCTTCGGAACAACTGCAAGCCCAGCCTGGCTGGTCCACCTCCTCCTCTCTGCAGACTGCAGCCGATGGGGGGAAATAGCTCTGGGCCCCCAGGAGGGGCAGCCCAGCCCCCCTTGCTGCACTGCTTCCACCCAGGACCCCTGCCAGGGGTTGGCCAGGATCTTCCCAGGAAGAGAGCTTGGTACAACCGGTGTCAGGATCCAGGTGGGGAGAATGCCCGGGGCCCTTTGAGGAAGGCCCTGATCCTTTTGCCCTGCCAGCCTTCCCTTTGGGGGGTCCGGTTCTGGAGGAGATGAGCCAAGGAGGCCGCTGGCAGGACACAGCATCCCCAGGACTGCCGGGTGTGGGGCGCAGAGAGGCGGGCGGGCGGGTGGCCGGCCCAGGTGTGCAGCTGCCCTCGCCTCCACATGGCTTCCTGCTCAGACCTGCTCCTGCTGGGCGAGGTGGCATTCCTTCTCCTGCATGCCCATCTGCTCCCCCAGCAGGGTCTCCTGGGTGGGGGGTGAGCACTCCTCTTCATTCTCCGTGGGCTCCGGGGCCTCCTGGAGGGGCTGCAAGAGAACCAGGCCTTTGGAGGCTGGCAGGCAGGACTCCCCGGGCCCCATCCTGACCCCCCCCCGTCATCTTTCACGGTGGGGCTGTTCCTGAAACTGCAGGCCCAGGTGCTGTCCTTGGCCCAGGGGTCTGGCCCCAGTTGCCCCCTCCCCCCAGGGGGGCCTGGAGAAGGGGCACCTACCAGATCCTGACGCCACTTCCGAGCACCTAGGCGGGAGGAAAGGAGACATCAGCGGGGGGACCATTCAGAGGAGGCCTGCTCTACCCATTGGGCTGCTGAACCCGTTGGGAGGGATCTGGAGGCTGCCACCCCTTTCCTCAGATCCGACACTGGGGCCCAGTTCTGGGGGCCCCTCTCCATAGCAGGTGGAAGAGGTTGTGTTCACCTCAAACGGGCTGAGCTGGGCTCCTACACGGCCCAGTCCCTCTCCCACCAGGCTGGGGGGGGGAGGCATGAAGTTGGGGTTCAGGCTGGACTGGGAAGCAAAGGGCACCTGAAGCCTCCCTTGCCCTCCTGCTCTCCCCCTGGGGGCCTCTGTCTCCCTGCTCCTCTTCCCCCTCCCCACTGTAAGAGGCCGGGGGGGGAGGGTTGAGCCCGCACAGGAGGGGTACAGAATACCGACTGAGCCCCAGAGGCAGGGGGGAAAGCCACCCCCCCCACCCCCGAGTCCAAGAAAGGCTGCAAATGCCGGGATCCCGAGGGGTCTGCCAGAGGCAAGGGAGGGCAACCCCCCTCACCTCCAGCCTGTCCCTCCCTTCCCAAGCATCCCCCCCTCACTCACATTTGCCATGCCGATGCCACAAGAAAAGGAGCGCCCCCAGCAGTAGGGCAGCCACAGGGAGCAGCACCAGCAGGGGGCTCGGACTGGCCTTGGGGGTCTTCAACAGGGGTGCCTCTGTGGGGATAAGACCACCTGCTGCAGTCCCCAAAATGGGCTTCCCTACCTGGCTTGTGGGCCCTCTCACTCCCCCCCAAGCAACAGGTAGGGGGCAAGTTGCCAGCTGGTTTTACACACACACACACACACACACACACACACACACACACACACACACACACACACACCCTTCCCATTCCTTGAGTGGCCTCTGCTTCCTTGCTTACCACAAATGTTGTCCATTGCCTGCGTGCCCTTTGCCTTCTGGACCAGCCCCTCCTGGCATCTGTGAAGATGGAGCGGCCTAAGAAGGCAGCCCTCCACCCCCGTCCACCCCACCCGTGGATAGGCACACCGCATCCTCCCCCTCCTCCTTCCCCTGGGGCCCGAGGGCAAGGCAGCTGCTGGGGGGGAGGGGGAATGGCCTCCCTGAGGGGTTCCAGCTGAGCGGTTCACAAGACAACTCTGAGCAAAAGAGCAACAGAGCGCAACTGCACTTTGCCGAGGTCTGTGGACGGGGTGGGGGAGCACCCATGCAGGGCGCCCCCAGGGTTGCCCGACCCACCAGCCCAGCCTGCAGGAGCCACAGGCGCTGACCAGGTGGCAGATGGCAGAGTGCACCGCCACCTTTTTGTTCCCACACTGCACGCAGGCCTGCAAGGGCACAAGGTGCTTTGGGTGGCCCTGCGGCTTGCTCGGGCGCCCCTGAGGGGAGAGCGGGGCCCGGGCCTTTGCCACTCGCTGCCTGCCGCAGACGGAGGGTGCAGGGTGCCATTTCATCGCCTGCAGGAGTGACAACCCTGAGCCGCTGGCCCGAATGACGGCACGTTGTGGCCTTCCCTCCCGGCCTGCTCTTCCCTTGGGCCAGGCGACCCGGCCATCCAAGAGGCCGGTGGCCACTCTGAGGGTCCCCCCCACGGCCTACCTGCTCCAGGGCTGGCACCGAGCTGTGGAGGACGAGACATTGGAGAAGTAGCCCAAAGAACAGGGGACGCAGAGGGTGTCGGTCAGGTGATTGCCTGGAAAAGCACAAGACTTTCCCACTGAATCTTTCAGGGAGGGGCCTATTCTCCGAGAGGTCAGAGGGCAGCCCAAATCCTGGTCTCGGGCCAGCCCTCCACCTAAACTGGAGGCCCTGGGGCTGCTGCTGCGCTCACCTTCCCGTTGGACCCCTTCCCCAGGGCCACAGAGGCTGTGGGGCCGGCAGGTTTCGCACTCGTGGCTGGAACAGTGTTTACCCTCCTGGCACCGGCAGACGAAGTCTCGCTCTTTGCTGCCGTTCCGATAGACAATCAGGCCAGCTTCTGAAAGGGGAGGGGGCACAACAGACGCTTGTAACTGGGGGTTGACACGAGGGCCCCCCTGGGTGCTCTCTGAGCTCGGCTGTTTTCTTCCAGACGTTTCGTGACCCAAACTAAGTAACGTCATCAGGGTTAGACGCTCAGGGGCTGCCACGGATGATGTTGCCTAGTTGGGTAACAAAATGTCTGCAAGGAAACGGCCAAGCTCAGAGAGCACCAAGGACCCCACGGAAGGAGAGGGGTACATCGTTTTGCTTTGCTGGGCAGGATGGCTCCGGGGAGCAAAGGGAGCCCCCCCCGCCACACTCACGCGGGCTACAGGAGCGGTGCTGGGTGCAGTGAGGCAGCCCGGTCCACCTGTCCTGGAAGTGGTGCTCCTCACAAGGGCTGCAGGTCGTATTGGACTGCCCCGAACAGGCGGCCGCCACCTTCTGGCCTGCAAGAGGGCGAGAAACACAGAGAGAGCAGAATAGGGGCGTGCTGGGCGAGGAGCTCTGGAGGCAGCTCTCTGTGGGGATGGGGGACCGTGAGAGGGGCCAGCGGGGGGGGGGTTGCAAAGGGGGAAATGGCCCCAACCAGGCAGCGCTGAACACACCCAAGGGGCCCGTCTCTGCATCAGCAGCGAGGGGGCAGAGAAGCCCCAGGGGCTGGGCTGAGAAGGGAAGAGGCCTCCTGCCACCCCAGCCCCAAGGCAGAGCAGAAGGGGGCTCGGGAACTGCCCCGAGTGGGCCAAAAGAGAGGAGGGATGACAAACAGCTTGGGAAAGAGACAGCTGCCCCACACTGACACTCTACCTGGTGGGCATCGGTTGCAGCATCGACCTTTCCACAGGTACTGCGTCTGGCTGCAGTTGAGGCCCTGCGTGAAGGCCAGGCCCTGCAACTAGAAACACCGCAGGCGATTAGTGGCCACACAGGCATCTACCCCCCCCCCCTTCCCTCCCTCAGCCTGCGAGGGCCTCCCCCCCCAAGGCCGAGTTCCCGCTCGAGCAGCCTGGGCAGGAAATGCACTGATTGGCCCCCCCACCTGGCAGGGAAACCGAGAGGGCCAGCCCCAGATCTGGCACGGCTCGGCCTCCAGAGTCAAGCTCACTCTTCCCAAAGCCGTTGGGCAGGACCAGCTTGAGCCACAGCTGGGCTGCCAATGGAAGAGCGCCACCCGCAGCAACCTCTGGGGAAAGCCCTGCGTCTCCCCTGGGCCTCCTGACGTGGCTTCTGCTCCCACGCCGGCCCTCCCCAGCCTCCCCTTGCCCTGGGCCCAGGAGCCAGCCTACCCAGACGGGGATTCTGGGCATCAACCCGCCAACCTCAGACCCCGGCGACAGTTTGTGGCATCTAGGCTGTACCCATCCCGGGGGCAACACCTTTCTCTCACTGAACGTCACGCCAGGCCCCCAAACCAAGAAAGTCTCTTCTGAGCAATTCCCTTTATGACTCTTCACCGACAGACAAAAATCTTGACAAACTAAGCAACTATTTGCGTATTGTAGTAAGAAGGTAATACTCTGAGAATCCCTAAGGAGGGGCCTCTTCCTCCCCAACAAACCCCAAACGCTTTACCCTCTGGAATGCAGCCCCCCCCCTTTTGGGAATCTGGACTACATTCTACCTCTCCTTTTTCTGCACTGGGACAAGGCTAGGAACCAGCACTCTGGCTACGTGTGCCCCAAACAGAACCATGAAGGGAACGTGTGAATGTAGCCACCAGATGCCTCATAGACCTATTAAGGACACACCTGGGAGTGTGGAGAAGGTGGTGGGGTGGGGGGAGAATCCGGAGAGCATGGCTAACCCCCCACTACTGAGTTTTTTGTGCAGAGGGGTTTAGCCCCCAAAGCTGGGCAACACACACACACACACACGCACACAAAAGGACACAATTCTGCGAGGCCAAAAGACAGCAGCCAAGGCGCACTCCCTCGGGGGACTCGCTCTCCCCTTGTTCCACCCAGCCAGCCAGGACGAGGGGGCTGCTAGCCAAAGCCAGGGGCTCCAGGCACCAAGAAGGCCGGTCAGAGACCAGCAAGAGCCGCTTCGGTCTAGAAACCAAGAGGCTCCGAGTTCTAGTTCTGCCCTAAGCGTGAAAGCCGGCTGGGTGGGCCAGTGACTCTCCCAGGGTTGTCGTGGGGAAAGGAGGAGTTATTTATAAAAATTAATAAAGGCGGGAGATAAATAGATAAAAACATCAACAAGCCTGCCGGAGAGATCCTGACTCTGGGGAGAAGCCAGACGGATCAGGCGGCTGCGCCCGGGCTCCATTCGGCTCGGCTCCGGCTGCCGGGAGAAGCCCGCCTGCCGAAAGGGGAACTCGGGCGGGGAGGCGGCTGGGCGTCGCGGCAGGCCGCGCTCGTATTCCCGGGTGACGCCCAGCCGGGGCTCGCGGGGGCTCTCCGGGGCGCGTCGGGCACTCCAGCCGCCCGAAAGCGAAACTCACCGTGAGCAGAACCGCCGCGCTCAGCCCCGCCGACCACCGTCGCCCCTCCATCGGCGCCGCCTCGGCCCGCCGCCGCCATCCCGCTCCCTTTATAGGCGGCGGGGCTCTCGCCGGCCCATCGGGCGGGGCGCCGAGCGTCCAGGGGCGGCCCCGTACTGTGCCCGACCCCCGCGCCCGCCCGCCCGCCCACCGGGAATTCCCCGCGGAGGGAAGTCCCGAGGTCGGTCAGGCGCGGCAGGCAACCCCAGTCCCGCCCGCTTCGTCCATCCTTTTCCTCCAAGTGGCTCTTTGCGCCGAGACTTGCCTACCTCGCGGGGTTGTTGTGGGGCAGGGGACGTCCAGTCCAGAGGGGGAGCTCTCGTGTCATGGCAGCAATAGGGCTGCCTGGAGGTCTCTGGGGGTCGCGCCCTGCCTCCTCCTCCTCCTCCCGGCTCGGGGCTGCCTGCGAAGCCAGGCGTCGACTGGCCGCGGGAGCAGAAGAACAGCCGGGGACTGAGGGGGCGGCGGGCTGCTGGTTTTCGAAGCGAGCGAGGAGTGGGGGGGGGGACCTGGCTCGGCAGCCGGAGTTCCCCAAAGCGTCCCTCGCGCCTTCCGAGCGGGGAGAGTCGTGGTTCCACGCCGCGGCTTGTCGGGCGGAGAGCGGCGCCTGCCTCCCGCAGGCGAAAGAACTGGGGAGAGCCCCCTGCAGGCGGGTCTAAGCATCCGGGCAGGGGGCCTTGGGTTGGGGCGTCCGTGTGGGGCTCTGCTCGGCCACCCCAGCCGGCCAGCCCCTGCGGTAGAGCGGAGCTGGCCCCCAGGAGGACCCAACTGAGGGCTGGAGCGTCCCGGGAACCCCCGCGCTGCCCTTGGACGCCACTGCCTGAACTGGTTTCAGAAGTCACCCCAATGGGATGGGGGTAGCAGCCTGCCTAACAGCCTGATTAATTCTGACCTAACAATTCTGATTAAAGGCCCCAAGGCCTTTCCAGGACTCACTTTCCCCCAGCTCAGCTGAAGGGGCCACAGCTGTCCCTTCCGCTTAGGATTGGAGGCGGCCCAGTGGCTGATTTCATGGAGGGTCAGTATCCCCCCCCCTGCGCATGCTCAGCCATAAGTTGGCACTTTGGAGGGGACAGTGAAATTCTGCACCCCAAATTCTCTTACTGCTTCTGAGGAAGAAAGCCAGCAGAGGAATCATCCCCCTCCCTCGGGCCTGGGGCTTTCCATCTGGCAGGGTAGAAAGGAATGTCCCCCCCATCCCAGACTCAAAACCCCAGCAGGGGCCACTTCCCCAGTCAGGGTTACGCTTGGCTGGAGGCCTGCTGGGAAAAGGCCCTGGTGGTGGGGGAGGCTGTGGGTGGCCCCATGGCCTTGGAAAGCCCCTCCCCATTCCCCAGTTCCTCAGCCATGCTGGGCTCCTGCCACCTGCAGATGCCTGTGCGTTACTTTTCTTTATTTATTAAATTTGTTTGCTGCCCATCTTGCCACAAGGCAAGTTTCTCCTGGTGGACCCTAAATGACTCAGTCCCAGCTGGTTTAATTCTTGAGGGTAACTAGATTGAGGACTAGCTGCTTGTGACAAAACTTTTCAGGAAATAATGCTGTAGGAGGAACAAGTACCGGCACCTGGTAAAAGCAGAGATTTTTTTTTATTTTTATTCACTTAGTTTTCCGAAGTTTCTGAGGGTAGGACAAGAAGCAACGGGTGGAAACTCAGAGAGAGAAAGCCAATCTGGAAATAAATAGAAATTTCCTGACAGTGACAATCAGTGGAACGACATAATGCCAGAAGTTGTGGGTGCTCCATCACTGGAGGTTGTCAAGAAGAGACTGGACAGCCATTTGTTCAGAATGGTGTCAGGTGTCCTGCCCGGTGAGGGGGTTAGACTAGAGGTCCCTTTCAGCCCTATTAACCACGGCAACCTGGAGAAGGGTCTGGAGGAGGTTTTGCCTCTGAGGGCAGCGAGAGAAAGTGCAATCTACATCCAGCATGCGTATCACCACAAAAGGTTTTACAGGCTCAGCCCAAAGCAATCATGTCAGAGGAAAATAAAAGGCAGGGGACAATCGTGAATGTTTTATTTGTAGCGGATGCTCAGAATAGTTGCCGATGCGGTGTGCAAATCCTGAAGTGAGCCAAGCAACCTGGGATTAAGGAGAAACTTCCTAACAGTGACGACAATTAACAGTGGAATAGCTTTGCCTTCAGACATCGTGGGCATTCCATCACTGGAGGTTTTAAAGAAGCGACTGGACAGTCACTTGTCTTAGATGGTATACTTTCTCCTGCTTGAGCAGGGGACTGGACTAGAAGACCTCCAAGGTCCCTTCCAGCTCTATTCTATTCTATTCTATTCTGTTCCCTATTCTACTCTGATTCTATTCTATTCTATTCTATTCTATTCTATTCTATTCTATTCTATTCTATTCTATATGAGAAAGGCAGGGCTAGATGAAACAAAAGTTGGAATTAAGATTGCCGGGAGAAATATCAACAACCTAAGATATGCAGATGATACCACTCTAATGGAAGAAAGTGAAGAGGAACTAAAGAGCCTCTTGATGCGGGTGAAGAAGGAGAGCGCAAAAGTTGGCTTGAAACTCAACATTAAGAAAACCAAAATCATGGCATCCGGCCCTCTCAATTCCTGGCAAATAGATGGGGAAGAAATGGAGGTAGTGACAGATTTTATTTTTCTGGGCTCCAAGATCACCTCAGATGGGGACTGCAGCCAAGAAATTAAAAGACGCTTGCTCCTGGGGAGGAAAGCTATGGCAAATCTAGACAGCATACTAAAAAGCAGAGACATCACCCTGCCAACAAAAGTGCGTATAGTCCAGGCCATGGTTTTCCCAGTTGCAATGTATGGCTGTGAAAGTTGGACCATAAGAAAGGCTGAGCGCCAAAGAATTGAGGCCTTTGAACTATGGTGCTGGAGAAGACTCCTGCGAGTCCCCTGGACTGCAAGGCGTTCAAACCGGTCAGTCCTAGAAGAGATCAACCCCGACTGCTCTTTAGAAGGCCAGATCCTGAAGTTGAAACTCAAATACTTTGGCCACCTAATGAGAAGGAAGGACTCACTGGAGACGGGCCTAATGCTGGGAAAGATTGAGGGCAATAGAAGAAGGGGACAACAGAGAATGAGATGGCTGGATGGAGTCACTGAAGCAATAGGTTGTGAACTTGGACTCCAGAAGATGGTAGAGGACAGGAAGACCTGGAGGAACATTGTCCATTGGGTTGCGATGGGTCGGACACGACTTCACAATTAACAACAAAAATTCTATAATTCTATTCTATTCTGTTCTATAATTCTGTTCTATTCTATTCTAGTGAGCGTTTATAACGGTTTCAAATTCTAGGCTGCTCAGCCGCAGGGCCCAGGGATTAAGGCACGGGAGCAGCAGAAATCGGAATAAAAGCCCCAAAGGAAAGGGCGGCGGGGGGGGGAGCAACGGACCACTCTCTGCTCCCTCTCACCGGTGGGAATAAAACCAGACGAAAGCCCCCCCCCCCATCACTGCCCTAAGCCCAGGGAAGCGGCCTCCTGGTTTTCATCCAGGGCAAAGTAAGCCCCCCCACTTTGGATCTCTGGGGAGGGCAGGAGCTGCAGCGGGGAAGCCCCCCCAACTCTGCAGCATCCCGGGGGGGGTGCAGCGGATTTCACCCTGCCTCGCCGCCCCCCGGAGCTGCGTGGAAGAACCGACGGAAGGGGGGCGCTTCGGCCCGGGAATAGCCGGGTGGGAGGAGAGCGGGGGTCCAGCCGGGGGAGGCAGTGAAGGCCAGAGCGTCCCCAACGAGGCAGAAGAGGAGGAGGGGGGGGCAAGAAACCCGAAAACAAAAGAGCTTCCGGCGTGTCTCTCCCTCCCCCCTCCCGGCCCGGAGGATTGTGGGAGTTGAAATCCGAGGTGCCACGAGGGCGGCCAGGAGGAGGCGCAGGAGCGGATTGGCCAGCACGGGAGGAAGGGGCGGGGTCGCGCGTGTGCGCGCGGCCTCGGAAAGGCCTAGAAGGGCTCGGAAGCGGAAAGGCCAGCCACGCCCTCGGGTCGATGACGCGTCGCGGGTGGGCGGGGGAGAGAGGGAGAGAGAGAGAGAAGGCCGTTGCGGCGTCGTGAGGCAAGAGGAGCCCGCCAGGCCCGGTGAGTGAGCGAGCGAGCGAGCGGCGGCGGCGGCGGCCCTGTCGGCGGGGGTGGGGCGGGGGGTCTCGCGCGCTCCCTCCCCCTCCTCCTCCCCCTCCCCCCTCCGGGAGGCCGGCAATAAAGGCTCCTTCCCGCCTGTGGCTGTTGTGTTCTTTGGCGCTCGTGCCCGCGTCCTCCGCGCGCCCCCGATGCGCCCTCCCCGGCTCGTCGCAGGCCGAAGCGCGGCTGCTTCTTCCCTCCCTCCCTCCCTCCTTCCGGCCGGGCATTCTGGGCCCTGGAGTCTCCCCGTGGGCGCTGAGTCCGGAGCGGAGGGTTGTCGGTCTCGGAGCGCCCGGAGGCTCTTTCGGGCGCGGAAGGCCCGCCTGGATCCGCCCCGGGAGGAGCCGCGTTCGCCGAGGGGCCTCGCTCCGGCCCTACTCCGCCTCGGGCCCCCCTCCCTCTCCACCCCCACCCCCCGGCTGAGGCCCCCCGCCCGAGGGGGGCCATCAGCCGCCGCAGTGGGTGGGTCGGGGCTTCTTTCCCCCCCCCCCGAGCCGTGTCCGTCCTCGGCGCTGCCTGCCGTTGAAAGGGAAGAGCCGGCCCGAGACCGGCGGGGGGGGTTGGGGGGCTTCTGCGCGGCGGCCTCGCTCCCCCCCCCCGTGACTGTGTGGCGTTGGCGTCTCTTAAAGCTGTGGCTCTGTCGCCGGGGCCCTTTCGCCGCTTTCCAGGGGCTGCGTGGCGGCGCCCGTGTGTTTTCCTCGGCGGTAACACGATCAGGATACGCTCGGCCGGGCTCCGTGGGGGGCGTGGGGGGGGAAATGGTGGTGCTTGCGTTTCTCCTTCCACCCGCTCCCAGACTAGATCGGGTACGATCCTGGGGTTTCCTGGTGGCCCCTCGCCCGACCAGACCCAACTCTGATTGGCCCCGGGTCAGCTAGTCCCCGGGTCTTGGGGACGATCACCCCCCCCATGGCTTCTCCTTGAGGCCCTGAAGAAGCTGCAGACCCACCTGGAGAGCCCACAGCGATGGGTGGGGGGCAGGTGGGGAAGCTGGTGCTAACGGCTGCTGGGCGCCTGTGCAAAGAAGAGCAACCAAGATGATCAAAGGCCTGGAGACTAAAACATGGAAAAAGGGTTGCAGGATTTAGGGATGGCCAGTCTAGAGAAAAGAAGGAATAGGGGCGACATGATAGCAGTATTCCAGTATTTGAGGGGCTGCCACAAGGAGGAAGGGGGGTCAAATTATTTTCTGAAGCAAAAGAGGGCAAGACAAGAAACAACGGATGGAAACTAATGAAGGAGAGAAGCAACCTGGAACTAAAGAGAAACTTCCTGACAGTGAAGACAATCAACCAGTGGAACAGCTTTGCCTCCAGAAATCGTGGGTGCTCCATCACTGGAAGTTTTGAAGAAGAGACTGGACAGCCACTTGTCTGAGATGATATGGGGTCTCCTGCTTGAGCAGGGGGCTGGATTAGAAGACCTTCAAGGTCCCTGCCAGCTCTATTCTGATTGATTGGTTAACTGCTAAATGAGGCCTGGGCTGCCTCTTGGATCCTCTGCCTAGAGTTTGGGAGGTGAAGCTGGGGGCCAGGGAAACGGGCAGGTGGCTCTAGCAAAGCCGGGTCTCTGGGAGCGGAATACAATTCCTAACAAGCAAAGGTTTGCAACCCAAATACTGAGACTGAAGAAGAATATAAAGTCACTCAGTAGATTGGATCCGGTGTATTTTGAAGTTCTGTAGAATTTGGCAAAGCACGCTATAAACTAGATCTGCAGCCAAGAAGCAGAAATGGAAGAACAAGAAAGGAGATGCTTACGAGAGGCCCAAGCCGTCATTCAAGCCGCCTGTATTGGAACTGGTGCCGCTCAGCATAGCCAGCGAGCAACATGTGCAAACTGTTGAAGATGAAAAGTGATTCCCTGTCAGCAAGCTGGAATCCTTCTGGAAACTCTAAAGGAAGACCTTCCTGTGTGAGGAGAATCGAGTCTTCCAAAATCATCTTCTGTGGAAGAAGAAACAGTAATAGTCCAGTCTATCTAGCAGTGCAGATTGCTAGATGGCACTTTAGACTAGACGTCTACCTGAACCCGTTAGAAGGAAGAGGGTTGGGTCCCAGTCAGTGTTCATTATAATCTTTATCTTTCACACCTGAATGCACTTTGCTTCAAGGAAGGAGGCCAGGAAGCACGTTTCTTTCCTATTTCCTGCATACTTTCCCCCACTGCTCTCCCTCCCTTCCATCCTCCACGGTCACGAGGGGTGGTAGGGTCTGAGACCCAGGGATTCTCCAGCAGTTGCTAGCAGATTCATTCACATCATCGCTTGGATCCCCCCCTTCGAATGTCTGTGTAAGGCCGCAGGTGCAGAACTCTGCTGGTTCTTTAGAAGGAGCTCTGCAGCTGGAAACCTTTCTCCCTCTTAAGGGAAAAAAATTCCTCCATTTATGACTACAATTGAGACAGATTGCCATTGCAAATCAGTGCAGTCCTAAATGAGATGCCATATGTCCACACCAAATCCCAGCATTCCCCACTGCGGTTGTTAACTGAGAATCGTAGGTCATTAAGTGAGCACCTATCCAGACCCCTCCGGGCTTGGGCCCTCAGAGTCTTGAGCCTCCTTATGGCCAGGAACTGCCACCTGCCCCCCCCTTCCCCCCGCACTCTGCCACAGAACCGCCCCAGGCTGCTTGCAATGCTCTGGAAAGCCGTAGCTGCCTGAACCAGTCCCAGCCGCAGTCATCCCGGACCCCCAGCGCTCCGAGACCACTGCCCGCCCTCTGCTCCACCACCGCCCCGGCTGACCTCTTGCCCCCACTGGTGAGGAGGCATGCCCAGCCCGGCCCTCCGTGCCAAGAAACCCCTTTGTGCCACATCTGAAGCTGCTCCCTGACTGGCTTCTGCTTCTTGCGGTGGGCCAGAAAGCCCCAGCCAGGCCCAACTTCAAGCAGTTGTGCCTGGGTGGATCCAGCCGGAGCGGAATGGAGCCGGAAGGCGGTGGGGACGGTGGAGCCCCGGAGGGAAGGCGGCCATTGCCAGGGAATGTGGAGGTCTACTGTAATTCCAGGGGGCACTGAGGCTGGGGGGACTGGGGGATGGGCAGCTTCCACTGACCCTTGCTGTGCTTGCTCTTGGATGGGGGTGGTGGTGGTTGGGATGACCCCCAAGATCGCTTTCAGCTCTTTATCTTTTAACTGTCAATCCATTTTAGTCAGAATAACAGAGCTGGCAGGGTCCTCTGAGGTCTTCTAGTCCAACCCCCTGCTCAAGCAGGAGACCCTATACCAGGGGTAGGCAACCTTGGCTCTTTTATGACTCGTGGACTTCAACTCCCAGAATTCCTCAGCCAGCATGGGGGAACTATGGCCCCCTCATGACTGGTGGACTTCAACTCCCAGAATTTCTCAGCCAGCATGGCTCAGCTTGGAAACCTCTCCCTTTCCCCTCAGCATGGCTGGCTCAGGAATTCTGGGAGTTGAAGTCCACGAGTCATAAAAGAGCCAAGGTTGCCTACCTCTGCCCTATACCATTTCAGACAAGTGGCCGTCCAATCTTTGAAGAAAAATCCGCTAGGCCCCCAGAGTGCCCCGGCTGAGTCAGCTTCTCTTTGTAGAGGCTGCCAGCACAGTAAGCTTTGAAGTGGTCAAGGGCCTCCTCCTTCCCCTCCCCCCTCTGTGCTTTGAGAAGCAAAGCCCAGGTGTTCAGGTAGCCTTCAGGTGAGTGGGAGTAGCGCCAGGGGTTTGGGAGCCTGGGGGAGGGCATATGTCCATGAACCTCTGGGCTGTGCAGACACTCCCCTCCCTCCCCAAAGGAAAGCAGACCAGAGTCCCAGCAGTGCAAGTGATAAAGTCTCTGCTGGCAGCCCAGGGAGGAGGGGCAGGACAGTGGCAGAGCTCAGCTTGCAGAATTAGCCCTCCCCTTTGCCAAATAAAGTCTCTGGTCTCGTGCCTCCCCCCCCTTCCTTGGGCTCTCAGCCGATGCCGAGCCTGGAAGCAGGATGGGTGCCCACTTGCCAAGGGCGTGCCCGCCCTTCTCAACCATCCAGGTTTGGCTAATGCAGGCCAGGTCCCCCCTCGCCCACAGAAAGACCTCGGGTGAGGGAAGATCGGCTGTGGGCAGAGCTGGGCTTGACCAAGGCCTCTGCCGACTTGACAGCCTGCTGGGGAAATGGGTCTCCTTGGGGGGGGGACCCACCCCCTGCCTCCCAACAGAGCTTCCTTTGCCCTCCTCCCCCACCTTCACCCTGCGCCCCCTTCTGCCCCCAGAGCCCCCACCCTAAAGCAAAGTGGCCACCATGTTCCCTCCCTTGGTCAGGGAGCCCTCCGCTCAGGGTGATGGGTGGGAGGCTTTGCATGGCCACCAGCCTCACCTGGTGGCTCTCCTGCTCTTGGCTCCCTGCTTGGGTGCTGTGTGTGCCCCCCCCCTGCCCTGGGCGTCTCCGGCAGAGAGCCAGGTGCCGGGGAGCTCTCAGGGTGACTATGGAAGGCAGAGGCTTTTGTCTACCCTTCCCAGGCCCAAAGGCCAGGAATCTTAGCCCCATTTAGCGTCCAAGCCTGTCCGTGTCCTTCCAGGAGTATTGAGAGTCACAAAAGTTGTAATATTGGTGCTTGTAAATACATTTTTCCACAATATTTACTATTTTTCTGGTGATGAAAAGCTGTAATGGCTAAAATTTAAGAGCTATGGTGGTGGTGCAGTGGTTAGAGCGCGGTATTGCAGGCTGACTCTGCCTGCTGCCGGGAGTTCGATCCTGACGGGCTCGAGGTTGACTCAGCCTTCCATCCTTCTGAGGTCGGTAAAATGAGGGTGCAGATTGTTGGGGGGCCGTAGGCTGACACTGTAGACAGCCCAGAGAGGACTGTAAAGCACTACGGAGTGGTATGTAAGTCTGAAGTGCTACTGCTAAAAAAATGGCTTAATGGCGGCACGTCCCGCCCGCCTGCCTCTGCTGGCCGATGACCCAGCAGAGCTGTGATTGGGTCCCTGCTCGGTGAGGGAAGCGGGAAGCCCTTCGGAGGCAGTGGGACAGCCCTTCGAAAGTCTCCCTGCTCCAGTGGGTGGTAGAAATGCTGTGTGTGGCCCTGAGGAGCCTCGGCAGAGCCCGGTGGGACCTTCCGGGCGCGGAATAAGGGCAACCAAAGGAGAGAGGGGGGCCGTCTCTCAAGGCTTGGGTGTGCCTCGGCGGTTTCTGCGCGTGTCGGCTCCCTTCGGGTCTCTCTGTCCCCTTCTGCTGCCTCTCCCCATTCTGGAGAAGCCTTTGTGCCTAATGCTGTATGACGAACTGGCAGGCCTTCTGCTTGGGGAGGGCTCCGGGGCCAGGAGGAGGCCAGCAGTTGCACCCCAATAGGAGAACCTACCTCTCCAAGCATGTTTGAGCAGGAGTGAAGTGTCCCCAATAATAACTCTTTCACTGGGGTGGGGGGGAGCTGTATTTCCCAACACCTATGGAGGCAGGTCCTGCCTGAGAAGCCACGGGGGGGGGGAGTTCCCCCCTTTCTTCCTTCTCTGTCACTTTAAAAGTAGCCCTCCTTGCAATTGTTTTTTTTGCGTCTCTGGAAATGCCTCTAGAAAGAAAGAAAGAAAGAAAGAAAGAAAGAAAGGAAGGAAGGAAGGAAGGAAGGAAGGAAGGAAGGAAGGAAGGAAGGAAGGAAGGAAGGAAGGAAGGAAGGAATCCTCCCGGTGCCATTGCTTTGTTTATGCGTTCAGATTTGTACAATTAATCAAGGCAGGCTTGACGGCTGGGGTGCACCAGGGAAGGAGCCTTTCCAGTCCATTTTGCCCATTTGCAGGGGCTGTGTTGAGTTCGTCACAGGGTCGCTGGGTCCCTTGCGTGCTGAAGCCGCTCACGTGTCGCCCTGGCAGGTGAGGGGCTAAGCTGTGTTGTGGGCAGGAGAGCCCCAGCCTCTGGGCTGCCTTCCCCGGCTGCTTCTGTCTGCCCGATCCTGGATATAAATAAAGGTTTTCTTGACGCTCGTTGGCTCCTGGCGTGGATTTCCTGGCTTCACGTTTGTTGCTTTCTTTTCAATATACTGACGATCTTTTCTTTGTTTCATAACATTGAACAGATGGGTTGATTATTCTTTTCAGATATTAATAAAGCAGCGGAAAGAAGAGAAATGAATAAGCTTCCCTCAAGGTCCAGCCCATCGCGAAGGTAAAGTACTCTGAAGCAACCAGTTGCCTGGCTCAGCGGTGCTGCCTCCCGGGTGCCTCAGCGGTGGAGCCTCTCCTGCGGGAATCCAGCCGGACTCCCAGCCCTGGCGAACTTCCTGGGCGCTCAGGTGAGGGAGGAGAGCCTGCCTCTCGTTCCGACTCTGGGGCGTCCCTGGGGAGCGCCTCGGAGTGGCTCCACCCCGGGCTGTGGGGGTTGCGTTCGGGGCAGAGACCTCAGGGGAGCAGCTCCCCTTATGGATGGAGGCGGCCCTTGTTTGCCATCACGTTGCCCCGAAGATGGACGCGGGATCTCCTTTGGCAGAGGATTCTTCGGTCCTCCCTTGGCACTCCATCTGTGTTGTGCCCACCACCTATGGGTGCTTCTCTTGGCATCAGCACAGAACTGAAGACCTTCCCTGACCTGAAGACCTGCCCTGCCAGGGCAGGAGCTGGGACGTGCCGGGGGACCCTGGGTCAAAGCGCACGCATTTGCCCAAGCATTGCTCCTGATGCTGGTGGGCGGCGCGCACGCGAGTGCCTGAGCCTCGCCTTGCCTGAAGGCTGCAGGCGGCGCGCATGCGGGCGCCTGGGCATTGCATTGCCCCTGCTGCCGGTGAGAAGAAAGCAACAGTGTTGGGGGACATCCGGTTGGAGTCCTTCCGGAGCCCCCGTCGCCTGCCTACGTCTGCCGAGCGCAGCGGGGGGCATCACCCCAACTTCACGGTTCTGCCTCTGCTGTCCTGTCCCCAATTTGCCTCGCTCTTCTTTAAGCAGACTTTGGCCATCCTTTCTGAGTCTCTGGCCCTTCTTGTACCCCCCGGAAACGGGCTGTTCATTTGGACTTTGCGAAATCAGTTTAAGGTTTTATTTATGCGAAGGCAAAGAGTCCCTAAGTATATTGTCCTGAATCGGCACTGAGCTTTTGGCGGGGGAGATCTACCTATTAAAGCGCAGTTGTTCCACGTCTCCTGAACTCTCTGCGGGTTGCTGCTCAACAGGGCAGGGAAACTCTTCCAGCCGCTCTCGATGCTGTTGGTAGAGAGGCAGCTGCAGCCAGGGGTCCCGTAGTGCTGATGCTTTGGTGGGTGGGCTTCCTTTTCTGGCCCTTCTGGAAGATCGGGTCTCCCTGCCTGTCTCTAGGGAATTCGGCCCACTCTTGTTCAAAGCAGGGCCGTGTCATGACTCCCAGGAAGTGTGACCATGGCCCGTTCTAAGTGAGGAGTTGCTCCAGGCTGGGGGTGGGTGTTTCCCGCCTCCCCCCCCCAGGATTCTCAGCTTCCACCAGCCACTGGCTTCGGTGGCCCCATCAACTTCCTTCGAGTCCAAGGTGGATCCTGCTGAACTCTACAGCAGGTCCAGAGACTGAGTCAACCTCCTGGGCTGCTCACCCCAGGCTCCTTTTGGAGCAAGACGCTCTTAATGTTTGGGGTGTGGCAGGGAAGGGAGGGACCCCTAGGGCTGAAGGCGGCTCCCAGACCTCTTCCCTGCCTTAGGAACCTTCCTTCGTTTGCCTTGCACTGCTTGCTGGCTCTGGAAACGAGTGCTGGGCCACGTGGCAGCCTTGCTAGGCTTTGGTTTGGGTAGGGATCCACGGACAACAGTCTGGTTCACTCCCCTGACCCCTTCCCTCTTAAGGGCTTTTCCCGGTCCTTCTGGCAGGGAGCCCATCCCTTACAGCGAGAGAGACGCGCGGAGGGATCGCTCCCCTAACCAAGGCAGCCCACGCAGAGATGGCAGGAATGGCCGAGATTCCCGGGACGGACGGGATCTTCGGGGGCGAGAGATGCGGGGGGGCAGAGATCATCGAGACCCCAGAGATTCCCGGGACGTGAGGGATTCCCGGGACATGCGAGATTCCCGGGACCCTCTCTACGACCGCTACAGGGAGACCAGAGAGACCCCGTACAGGTAGGTACAGAGGGAGGTGGGCTGCTGGGGGTGGGTCAGGCCCCCACCCGGCTCACAAACTGCTGCTACTGGTGCCTCTGCAGGAGAGAGGAAGGCTATGACCGCTACGCCCGTCCGGACGACTATTACCGCAGGCGGGAGGAGCCCTCTTACGACCGCTACGGGGAGCCCCTGGACCGGCCCACCCTGGACAGACCCACCATGGACAGGCCCACCATGGACAGGCCCACCATGGACAGGCCTACCCTGGACCGGCCCACCCTAGACAGGCCCACCCTGGACAGGCCCACCCTGAGCACTGAAGGTCAGGCCCCACCCGGCTGCAGACGGGTGGGGGGGTTGGGGGAGGTGAGGGCCGGCCCTCATGCCGTTGACCTTCCCTGCAGAGCGCATGAAGAGAGAGGAGAGGCGCCGGGAGGAGCTTTACCGGCAGTTCTTTGAGGACATCAAGAAGCGCATAGATACTGAGCGGCCAGTGGATTGCTCCGTCATCGTGGTCAACAAGCAGACCAAGTATGGGGGAGGGGCTGGGGGAGCGGGGGCTCCTTTCCCAGATTCAGGGCGGGCTCTGGTGGTCAGACACCCTGGGTAGATGCTGTTTTCTTGGCTTCTGCCTGGCGCAGGGATTATGCTGAGTCGGTGGGGCGCAAGGTGCGCGACCTGGGCATGATGGTGGACCTCATCTTCCTCAACTCGGAGATGTCTTTGCAGCAAGCCCTGGACGACGTGAGCCAGGGGGGCTCCGCCTTTGCCATCGTCATCACCCCTCAGCACCAGGTCCACCACTCCTGCACCGTCAACATCATGTTCGGTACCCCGCAAGGTAGGGGGCTCCTCCGTCGGCCCTGTGGCTATTAACGACCGGTTCAGGAGTTTGATTAAGCAGAGCACAGTTGGCCTCACGCAACCTGCTCGGCATGTGTGAGTTGCGGTTTGTGTTTGGCAGAAAGCTCAAGGTGCTGCATGAGTTGCGCCATCTTTGGCCTGCGGATCCCGCCCTTCATAGTCCTCAGAATTGGAACCAAAATTGGGTCATTCAGCTGCTTAATTTAGAATTTTTTTTGTTGCAAAATTTGAGGAGGAAGACTGACTCGGGGATCTTGGCCAGAAGACCCCCGGCAAAGATCAGTCAGGCATTCAGAGAGGTGAAAAACACAAAAGCCCTCAGCATAAGTGTGTGGGGGGGGCTGACGGGAAGCCATTCCACTTGATCCGTCCACTTCCGCAGCGTCCTTTTGGGGCTCCCTGATCCACTCTGTGAGAGAGGCACTTGTGGCGTTCATTCTGCCACAGTGGGAGTTCCACTTGGTGCCCTCCCCCCTCCTTCCCTCCCTGCAGCAGCCTTTTCAGGAGGACCCCAGGTGGACTTAAATCTCCCCCCTCCCCCCAGGTTTGTTGTTTTGTGAAGCCCAGCAGGTGGTTGTCTGCCCCCTGCCTCACTTGCCCGTTCGCAACGCCATGGAGGGCGTTTGTGTCCCAGGCTCTGCCCTGGTTTCTCCTCCAGTTTGATACAGATTGGTTTTCTTCAGAATGGGCAGGATCTGCGGTGTTTTAGTTTCTTTTTAATTGTAAGCTGTCCGTGGCGAATTGGACGCCAGGGCGACTCACGGCTCGCCACTTCTCCTCCTCCTCCTTCACAGAGCACCGGAACATGCCCCAGGCGGATGCCATGGTGTTGGTGGCCAAGAACTACGAACGCTACAAGTCCGAGGTCCGCGAGAAGGAGCGGGAGGAGATTGCCAGGCGGGCGGCCAAGATGGCCGACGAGACCATCCTGCAGGAGCGGGAGCGCCCCCTGCCGGCTGAGGAGAGTCTCCGCGGGGCCCACCCCCCAGCCATGCAGGCCCTCCTGAACCTGCTGGCAGACAACCGCTATCTGACCGGGGAGGAGACGGACAAGATCATCAACTACCTGCGGGAGCGCAAGGAACGGCAGCTACGTGCCACTGCCGAGTCCCTTCCCGGTAAGTCCTAGCTGAGGAGGGAGCCCGGTCCCCTTGTGCCGCCCCCCCCCCCAGGATGCTAGGGGGAGGAGCAGTTGATACCGGAAGGCGGTGGGGCAGGACTCACAGCTGGCCGGCTTCCCTCCTCACAGCTTCACTTCCGGGCAGGCAGACGATGGGAGCCGCGTCGGGAGCCATGGTGCCCACTTCCCAGGGACACCAGAGCGGCCAGCCTCTGCCAGCCTCTGCCGCAGCCACCGGGCCCTCCAACCCTCAACAGGAGCTGCAGGCCAAGATCCTCAGCCTCTTCAACAGCGGGGTGGCCACCGGTGCAGTGAACGTGTCCGGCGGCGGCTCGGGCGTGGGGGTGTCTCCAAATCCAGAGTTTGCCTCCGGGCCCAGCACGCCTGGCCGAGGCCCCCAGCTGGGCATGACTGGTGCCTCCCAGTCGCAGCAGCGAGCTCCATCCCAGGCCAACCAGTTCCCCAACCACCCGGGTTCCACCAGGGTGTCTGGTCCCCGGGCTTCGGCTCCCCCACCACCGTCCCAGCCCCTTTACCAGAACCGGCCACCTGCGCCCAATAGCGCGGCCGCCGGGCGACCGCCACTGTCCCTGGGGATCAACTTCGACAACCCCAGCGTGCAGAAGGCCTTGGACACCCTGATCCAGAGCGGCCCTGCCCTCTCCCACCTGGTGAACCAGACGGTGGGCCAGGCCCGGGCAGTGCCCCCAGCCCAGCAGGGCATGGGCTCCTACCAGCGGCATTACTGATGCCCAGTGGGCTTCTGGCTGCCCGCTCCTGAATGTTCTGGATGGTGCATGTCTCTCCCCCTCCACCCTGGGCAGACTGGGGCTGGGGAAGGCAGTGAGGTCCTGCCCCCTTGCCTTAGGCACCCTCTGCCGCTTGACCCCCCTCATGGCCTGCTCCTGCCTCTTCAGTTGGGAGGGGGGCCAAGAAAGGGTATGCTCTCCCAAGCAACGGGGAGCGATCCAGAGCTTGCGAAGGGGGCGTTGGGCTCGAGGGCTGATCCGAATGTGTGGCTGTGGTGGGACTCGGTCTGTCTTTTTCCTGGAGGGTCGGAGAATTTTTCTGGCTGTCCTTTGGCCTGTGACACCCCCCTCCCCCCACACACTTTGGTTTAATGTTTAGAATTTGCAAGTTAAGTTTTGGGGGACCTCAGATGCCAGTTCTTTTTCCAAATGGCTTTCAGCAGAGATCGATGTTCTGTTCTTTGATGGTTCACTTATGTAGAGATCTCCTCTCTCCTGTTAACAGGAGGACGACATAACTTTTTAATAAAATTTGCATATGTATATACACACCCCTGTATATATATATATAAAAGTGGTGGCATTTCCAGTTATTTCAGACTGCTGCTGCTGCTGCTGGAAAGTCTGAGGGGGTTTTGTGCCACGGATCAGCTGCCACGTGCCCTGCCACTGCGCCCACGTCACTACTTGGAGTATCAGGAATCATCCGGTGCCACTTAGCAATCTGCCCCCCCCCCCGGCTCAGAAGTGGGTTTCTGCCTTTGCCCTAAAGGTGCTTTTCCAAAAGCAACTGGAGTTCTTTGTTTCTCCTTGAAGCTTCTTCCGTTCTCAGATGAGAAGCAAAGCGATTTAAAAGAAAAGGCAAGGAAATCCTTGAAAAGCACCTTTGGGACCGCCATGACCTTTGGGCTGATTGGGAATCTCCACAGAGGTTCTGCCTTTGATAATCCCAAATGCCCCCCCCCTTTTTTTTTCTCTTTAGGATCTGCTCTTGCCTGACCCAAAGCTGAACGAGGGAAGCGAGAGCAGAGGTCTCTCTTCTGAGCACCGTGTGGTGCGCCACACGTTTACGCCAGATTCAAGCCATGACGTTGCTAGAATAATTTGGCCTGGAAAAGCCCAAATACAATTTCCTCCTCTGGTTACACCCCCCCCCCCGAATAGGTCACAGCTGCTCTTTTAACAACCATTTTAGAATATTCCCTCTTGAGTTTTTCTTCATTTACACATCGCTTTCTTTCAAATGGGCAGCCAAGGTGGTTTTCGGCCCAGAATAACAGCAAACAACCGGGCAGGTGTCATGGTCAAAAGAAAGGAAGGGGGGGAAGCAGGAAGAAGGAAAAGGAGGCTCAGCTAGAAAAGGGCTCAGCCGCAGCCGTGTCGGAACAGGGGCTGCTCCATCGCAGAACGGTCCCTGGCCAGGCCTCGGGAGCTGAGCCGGAGGGCGGAAGGAAGCAGGCTCGTTCGCTCTGGCCAGAAGGACCGGGGAGCTGGGGGCCCTGGCCAGGTGCCCGGTTGTTTGCTGGGCATCAGCAGCGGTGGGCACTGCAGAGATGAAAGCTGATGGGCTACAGTGTCCTGGGACCTCTGAGGCAGCAGGGAGAGGCGGAGGAGGAAGTCATGGGTGGGGGACTGTTGCCCAGAGCGATGAGCCCAAATTCTGGTTCCTCAGGAGCCCAGAGCGACCGGCTGTGTCCAGTTTCCCTTCAGTCAGACCTGCCCTGCCCTGTAAGGAGCCTTGGGGGGGGGAGGGCTGAGGGGAAGGGGAAAGTGGAGCAGCAGCCCACTAGGCTGTGTGTGCTGGTCTTGGCAGCTGTCTCTGGGAGGCTGAGAGCCTGTGGAAGAGCAGACGGGCAGCCCCATCCCGAGGCTGCCCACAAGAGGAGAGTGTCAGGCCCCCAACTCGCCTGAGGTGCCAGGCCCAGCTCGACCCTTGTCAACAGCTCTGGCAAGGAAAGAGCAGAATGCGGAATAAGAGAGCTGGAAGGGACCTCTGGGGTCTTCTGTCTAACCCCCTGCTCAAGCAAGAGACCCTATACACCATCCTGATCACATGGCCGTCTAATCTCTTCTTGGAAATCTCCAGTGACGGCACACCCACAACTCCTGGGGGCGGGGGGCAGGCCCTTCCACCGACTGATTGTTCCCCACGATCAGAGAATTTCTCGCGGGTTCCAGGTTGCTTCTTCCCTTCACGAGTTTCCAGTTTCCATCCGTTACTTCTTGGGATGCCTTCTGGTGCTTTGTAAAATAAGCTGCCCCCCTTTTTTTTCTGGCAGCCCCTCAAAGACTGGAATGTTGTAGGAAGGAACTGGGAAAGGTCCTGGAAACAGGGATAGCCGTGCCTGGGATCTGCCCGGTCAGTGAATGTTTTCCTGCTCTCTGTGCATGAGCAGAAGGGCGAGGGTCTTGGGAGCCTCCCCCCACTCCTCCCTCTGGCCTGGAGGTGGCCACTCTCCCCCATGGAGCTCTCCAGGCCCCTTGGAAGCCATTGGGGAGCGGCCCTGTCACAATGAGGATGTCCTGGGGGGGGAGAAAGCCCCCCCACCTGTCCTGCAGGAATTTTTGCACCTGGCTCACATCCCCCCTCCCTCCTGTTGCCTCTTTTTCCAAGGCCCAGCTGTTCTCGCCTGGTCTGGGGGAGCCCCCCCCCGCCTCTTGTGCCCTGGGGGGCGGGGGATAATGCTGGTGGATTGAGGCCAGCCCCTCTTGGGCACAGACCTTCTCCAGCCACACAAGGTGACCTCTTTACGGAGCTCTCCGCTGCTTGTTTCTCACCAGCCAGGCCGGACCTTTCCCAGCTGGTTTGCAAGCTGAGCTGCTCCCCTGCTCCCCCCCTCCCCAGAGGAAGGCAGACCTTTTGGGGGACGGGACCCTGTCCCTGACGCAAGGCAGCTCCTTGTGGGGTTCGCCTTCTCTCCCCCCCCCCCCCCCGAGAAAGTTGCCCCTTTCTTTCCACTCTTCTGGGATTTTTTGTTTGTCCCCAGCTTCCCTTCCTGGCTGCTTTTCTTCCTCAAACGAAGGCCGGATTCTTCCTGCCCTCTTTCGTCTGTCGTTCATGCACTCCTCAGTTTATTTCTGTTTTCCTCATTCACATCTGCACGTTTTCTGCCCCCTCTTGGCCTCCCTTGTGCCCTTTGTAGTCTTCCGTTTCCCGAAGGAAAAGTTCTGAATTGTACCAGAAACCCAATAAAGGAGAGTATTTGTAGCTCCTTTGTGCTCTCTGCGCTTGTTTCCTTGCAGATGTTTCATCCCCAAACTGGGGACCATAATCAGCGTCGGAGATCATCAGCATGGAGGATGTTCCCTAGTTTGGGCCATGAAGGTCTGCAAGAAAACAAGCTCGGGGGCCTACCAGCAAGCCACACTGGTCTCCTGGCTCTTTTCCTCCGGACCCTCCCTTGGCAGACGGACCCCCTCCTCACAGTCAGAGGGACTTCCCGGCACTGCCCCAGGGACGGTCTAATGCTGCACGAGAGCCCGGCATCTCACTGGCCCTGCAAGATTTGCATCTTGCACCGCACCCCGTTCCCCTTACGTACTGTGGAGGGTGCCCCCCCCCGGAGTCTCTTCCAGAGGGTCTCGGCCCCAATCCTGACTTTGCAAGGGAGATGTTGCTCCTGAAGACTTTCTGCACACGACCCTCCTGTGGACAGCCAGAGAGGGCCAGGGACACAAGGCACCCACATAGGGTAGTGCTGCACAACCAGTATCGAGTCATCACGCGCACACACATACACACAAGCACAAAAGCATATTTTGTAGATGCCAGTCCGGTTTTGGGGTCCTGAGAAGACACATGGCGGGAGAACCCAGAACCCCAGAGGTGACGGGGGTGGGATCTCGTTGGGGCAGCCTGGAGGACAACAGTTGCCAGGACCAGCACATGACGGGTGTAATAAAATCCTTTTATTGCATTTTGTGCAGACAGAAGTCTAGAAAACAAAATATACGGTATAAGCCGCAACACAAGCAAAGAGGGGCCGTGGCCCCATGGATACCTAACAGCACCGGCCACGCAAACACACTTGCGGAAAGGAAACGCAAGCCCAACGCACTTTCCTTTGGGTTGACGACAGGTTATTTACAAAGAGCAAATGGGTCGGCGGCGTTGCGCTGCACAAGTGTTCCCTAGAGCACAAGGCCTATGAAAAAGCTCACAACAGCTATTGCAGGATCGCACTGGAATCAAAGTCACTCGGGTGGACAGAAAACACAGTAGCTACGGTGACTGATTATAAAGGTACTTCATGAACTGACTGGTGTCACATTCATAACAAAGATATTGCACGTGAGCACGGAAAGAAGAGTGTGTAGCTGACCCAGCCGTGGGGCCGCCTCGCTCATTCCTCGCCTCGTGAGCGCGCTCTCCAGCCAGGTGGGGTAGCCCTCACCAGCCCTCCGGAGATGGGGGGGGGAGCTCGGAAGCCCAAGGGTGCAGCAACAGTACAGTGGGCAGCGGTCCGGATCCATCCGGGGAGGGGGTGTCCGAGGCCGCCCCTGCCAGCTTTCCCAGAGCACCGAGGTGGCCTTGAGGTCTTCCCTGCAGGGCTGCAGTCCCTCCTCCGGCTTTGGTCAGGGGGCCCTGGATGCCCAGGTGGGCCGGCTGAAGGACATGCCCCAGGGCAGCAGGACGTGGCGCCGGGGCCAAACATGCAGGGTCGGGAGTGGGGGGGGGAGTGTAAACTAGCATGTGTAAACTAGCATGCAACGCTCTGCTTTGGGCCTCTCTGGAACGGGAGGCTGGGAGGACACTGGGGTGGGGGGAACAGAGGGGCAACAACGGCCAGGAGACAACCTGGTCCCTTCCCCGGCCCCAGGACTGCCAGAGGTAGGCTGAGCGTCTGCCAGCGAGCGAGAGAGGCCCGTCTTCCTTCCATGGGGGGTGCCAGTGGTGGGTCCCTTGGAAAGTGCTGGCCAGGGGTCTCAATGGGGGGCCCCTGGTCTCGGAGGGCAGCGTACGCATGTGTGTGTGTGTGTGAGAGAGAGAGCATCTCTCCATAGATGAAGCACTGTCCAAAACTCCCCCCCCCCCATTCACCCTCAGCTGTGAGGCTGCTAATCGCTGGGGAGGAGGGTGGCCCAAGCCAGTGGAGGCTGGACCAAGGTGAAAGGTCAGCTCTGCAAGATGGGGAGGGGGCCACATTTGCCCTGAGAAGAAGCATCGTGTCTGCGTGCCAGGGAGAGACCCTGCCCTTTGACTGCAGCATCCAGAGGACGTTTCTGGACGTCTCCCCCATGGCGGAGCAGGGGATTTGCTCTGGCCCCAGACCCACCCGGGGGGAGCCCCCCGCCCAGCCCATGAAGATGCTAGAGAGCCCTGGAGCCTCCCCAGCCCCCCCCTCCAGCTTCCTCTCGGTTCTTCTCACCTAAATAGGACGACTTTAAAAATACTGGTCCTGTGCTATGTACAGAATATATATATCTATATATTTACAGCCTCCCCGGAAGGGGGGCAGCGTTCTGCTTTTGGAGAACTATTCACATTGGTTAAAAGCTCCAGAGTTTTCCTCTTCTGGGGGAGGGGGCTGCCCCCAGGGGTCCAATGCACGTGTTTTGGTATAAGGTGAGGCACCAGAAATTGGGGGGGGGACAGAAGCAGAGCCCACCCCTTCCTACGGGGAGGGGGAGGAGAACTTGTCATCTGAGGGGGCAGCCGTGCTCCCTTTCGTTATCCCTGGGGGGGGTTCTGGGGTAGTGCAGAGCTTTTGCGGGGGGGGGGGGCTCTCTCAACCCCAGCCCTGCAGCTGTCCAGGGTTCATTTTGATCCTGGCTTGAAGGGAGTCCCTGGCTGGAAGACCCTAAAGTGCAACCGGGTTGAGGAGTGGCAGAGATCCCCTTACACACACACACACATTTGCATGTGTGTGTGTGTGTGTGTGTGTGTGTGTGAGAGAGAGAGAGAGAGAGAGAGAGAGACTGGGCCAAAAGACATGTACAAACCGGAAGGGTTGGGGGGGTTGCAAAACTGGGGGGAGCCCTTTTTCCCTCCCCAGCCTCCATGAGGGGGTCTGGTGGAGTTGGGGGTCAGGCTGGGGGAGGGGCTGGTCAACTGAACAAAGTGTCAGCTGGCCCAGTGGGTGCCAAGGGCCCCTGACCCAGCTGGGGAGAACTCTGCCCCCCCACTCTTAGCTTGCATGGGGAGGGTGACTGTCGGCTCCTCCCCCAGGATCCCCTTGCCCCAAAGAGCCCCCGATACATTGAGTCCAAAGAAACGGGGAGGGCCCTGAGTGGGGCGCTTTCCCTGCAGAGGGACCTGGCACGGGAGGTGGGGGGGCGGGGTGGGGGGGAGAGGCCAGCCTTGGCAAGGGACGCATGCTGGTGGCCTCGGCTGGCACCCTCTCCCCACCTGGGAGCTGGGCAGAGGAGCAGCAGCAGAAAGCAGGCTGGGGGGGGGCTTGAGCCTCTGCCCACCCACCCGTCCACTCCCCCTTTGGCAGATCTGGGGGTTCCGCTGAGCTGCGGGTGGGGCTCCGTCCTCCCACCCCGAGACGCGGGCCGAGTGGGGCTGTCCACAGCTGGGTGCGGTGGGTGCAAAGGGGGGGGCAAGGCTCTCGGGGCACAAACCTTTGGGCAAGGAAGGGCCTCGGCCGGCTACTCAAGAGTAGATGGTGATGACCTCCTGGCCACCCCCACGGACCAACAGCACCCTGTCCAGATGCTCCGTCAACACCTCCAGGAACTCCATATCTGGGGGGAGGGTCAAGGCTTGTCGGTGCAGCATAGCCCCCCCCCTGCTGCCCCGCTCCCACCCAGAGCTTCCCCCACAGGACAGCCCGGAGAAGCCCCTCTGAAACTGCAGGAGGGGGACGCTCCGGAAGGCTGAAGGTCGCTGGACGCCCAGCCCCATAAGGAGCAGTTCTGGGACCCCCGCAGGTTTTGGGGGCGCTGCAGAAGAGACCAAGGGAGGGGCCCTAAGAGAGGGGGCTGGTGCGCTGTGGCTCCAGGGCAGGTCGGCAGGGAAGCCAGTGGAACAGTCTGCCACACCTTCAGTTCAAAGCTCTCCTGCCTTCAGAGGCTTTGAACCTCTAGGATGGCTCCTTCCCTGAGCAGAGGGGAGGGGTGGGCGAGATGACTGCTGAGGGGGTTTGCAACTCTGCAGTTCTGATTCAAAAGGGGCTGCCCTGGAGCCCCTGCAGCCTCCATCGCCCCCTTCCCTGGGGGTGTCCTTGGCAGGAACCCCTCCTTCCGACCGGAGGCTGAGGGCAGGGGCCCAGCGTGACACTCTGAGGATGGAGCTCCCAGGAGGAAGGGAAGCTGCGATCATCCGGCAGCCCCCAACCCCTCGCCAGCCCCCCCCGACTGCCCTCCCCGCTGGCTGAGCCCCACAAGGATACAGTTCTCATCCCCCTTGCGGTTCCGGGGGGGCCCCGGCATGTTGAGCAGCACCAGCTTTGCCTCCTGTGACTTCCGTACGATGGCCTCGTTCAGCCGGACGGCCGTGTGCATCCGCCGGACGTTGGACTGGTTCCTGGGGGAGAAGACGGGCCGGTGGGCGGCTGGCTGGGGCTGCCAGACCCCTCGGCCTCTGCCCCTCTTGGGCACAGCCTGCCAGGAGGGGGGCCAGTGGGAGGGAGACCCCCTCCCCAAGCATTGCAGAGTGGCCAAAGGGACACTTACAGATTTTCCCACTCCCTGGCAGCGAGAACGGCGGCAGGAGCAGAGGGAGAGGAAGGAAGGGAGATCGTGTCATTGCCTGTGGATGTGGGTTCCACCTGATCCCCCCCACCGCCCTCACTGCCCCCCCACCCGAGTGTCTGCCCCGCCCGGAGGCCAGCGGTGTGGGGGAGGGAGGGGCTCACGGCTTCATGTTGAAGAAGTCCTTGATGCTCTCTGAGCTGACGGGGCTCTTGGCCTTCATCTTCTCGGCCTCCTTCTCCTTTGTCCAGGTGAGGTGCACCTTCTCGGGGGCGGCCTCAGCTTCGGCCTCGGCCTCGGCCTCCTCCCCCGGGGACTGTGAGATGCCGGAGAAGCTGGTGGCATTCTTGTCATGGATCAGCTGCACCTGTTGAGTGGCCGAGCAACGCCTTCACCCCTCCCGCCTGCGGCCCTCTCTGTAGGGCTGGCAGCTCCCGCCAAGGCAGGCAGCCGCACAGGGAGAGGGAGCCAGGCAGCCACTGGCCAGGAAAAGCTCAGGAGAGGGAGCACCGTGGGCAGGGCAGCTGTGGGAGGGCAGGCCTGGCCCCAATGCTGGGGAGGAGGCACTCAGGAACCCCCAGGCAAGCCACCCTTCAGACAGCGCACAAGCCCAGGCGTAGCTGAACCGCGGTTTACTCAGCAGAGCGAATATTCTAGCTTTGTGTGTCACCTTGAACCGTGGTGGGTCAGCGTGGCCGGGAGAAGAGGATGGCGGGGAGCCCTTGAGGGACACGGGGGGGGGGAGGAAGTCAGGCTGGCTCACCCCAATCTTTCCTCTTTGGAGAGGAGCCACCCTTGGGGTACAGCTCGAGGGGTAAATGGGGGAAGCCCCCCAGGGGAGGCATTAGATGTGCGGTCAACCCAGTGGATCATGCCAAATGCAGTGGGTGTCTGAGGTGGGGGGCATTCCCCACACAGGCTGGAGTTCATCTGGAAAGGACAAGGAACCCCCCCCCAAGGTCTTTTTCAAGAGTGTGCTGGCCGCCCTAGAAAGTGGCATCTGGGCTCCAGCACCCCACTTTAGGGAGACCCCAGAGCCCATCCAGAGGAGGGCAAAGAAGCCCCTCCTCAGCTTGGGGGGGAAATCTGAACTACTTGGGGTGAAGGCTGGGGGGAGGCCGGGTAGCTGCCCCACGGGAGGGGCTTTGGAGTGGGTCAGGAGACAGGACAGCTGACCAGGGGCTCCTTCACAAGAGCGGGAATGCCATGGAAGACCTGCGGGGGACAATGGTGTCTCCATGCAGGAGCTCTTTGGATGCAGAAGCATAAAAGAGACTGAAGGGACCTTGGAGGTCTTCTAGTCCAACCTCCTGCTCAAGCAGGAGACCCTATTTCATGTGGCAGTGGCAGAGCTGCGGAAGGGGCTTCATCCCTGGGGTGAAGTCCCCCCCCCCAGCCTTATGAGCCACCCTCTCTTGCCGTTGCCATCTCTGGTGCCCCTCCCCATGCCTGGCCACCTTACCTCTTCTTCTGACTTCTCCTCGCTGTCGCCCACCTGCTCGTCCGGGAGGCGCAGGTGGGTGTTGGGGGGGTTCTTGCGCCGGATGGAGCCCCGAGATTCGTCCGTGATGCTCTGGATCTGCGGCAGAGAGCGAGGCGGCTTCGGACTCCCTGCTCAGATCCCAGCCAGGCTCAAGCAGAGCGGGGGAAGACGCCGGTCACTCCAGCGGACGCCGTTTTTTTCCTACACAAACGTTCCTCCTCCCCAGGGAACTTTCCTACACACAAATGCCCCCTCCAGTGAAAATACACAACCCAGACATTGCTGGGTGCTTCTGCGCCCTTTGGAGGACGTTTGGTCCAATCTGACAAAGATGCATCCAGAGGGCAGAGATGGGCACTGGAGGGCCGGCGCGTGGCAAGTTAGTAGGGGGTGTTGGCAACAGCTTTGGCTAGCACTCTGGACCTTGCCAGCCAAAAAAAAAGAGGATTTCCTCTGCTGGCACCGTGCCAGCCCAGCCCCTTTCCCGATGTGCCAGGGGGTGAGCCGGGGGGGCTCCTTACCTCCCGCTCCCGCTCTGTCTTGGTCAGGTGCATCTGCTTGAGGATCAGCGACCTCTGCTCCATCACCAGGGTCTTCTCGTAGGTGTAGGCCGAGATGTCGCTCTCGTGCTGTGGGGCCAGAGGGAATAGCGTCCGCCTTCAGCAGGGCTGGATTTGACGGGTACCAGCAGAGGGTCTCCCTTGGCAGAGGCCTACCAGAGCCTCTAACCCACTTTATGACAGAGGTGGGAAAACCTGAACTCGTAACCGGCCTGACCAAGAGACAACGGGGGTCTCCCTGCCACTCGGGCTGAGAAGGGGAAGCTGGGGGGGGGGGAGGGCGGCCCTGGGCTACTTGCTGCCTTCAGCAACCCACCAAAAGGCAGGCATGTTGGGGGGGCTAGTGTGGCCTGGGGGGGGGGGAACCACAGGGGCAGGCACGGACAAGAACTCAAAGAGCAGGGCTGGGCTGCAGCCCCCCCCCTGCCCCGCCTCACCATCTCCACCACTTCCACCTCGGCCGTGATGCGCAAGTGGTACAGGAAGGTGGTCAAGTCCTTCTTCATCTGTATGCTGTTGTCGTCCATCTGGGCCACCGTGAAGATTCGCATCTTGCACTTGCGCCAGACCTGTACGGAGACACATTGCGGCCAGCTCAGTCCCGCGGACTCCCACTCAGGCCACTCCCCCACCTCTGGGGTGCTGGGTCCCTGGCAAGAAGGGCCCCTCCCTGCGTAGGCATCCGGGGGCCTGGGAGGCGGTGGTGCCAAGGGAAGGGAGGCCCCCGAGGCTGCCCTGCCCTGCCAGCCCCCCCCCGGAGCACCTTGTGCTGGCGCAGGAGGAAGGGCAGGAGCATCAGCATCCCCCCGTCATGCACGATCCACCAGACGTCGATGTGGCCCTCCGAGAAGCGCTCCGTGTTGGCCGGGAACATAGCCACGTTTTTGGCCACCAGCAAGGCCATGTGGCCAGCCGTGGTCTCTCGCACCAACTCTGGGGGAGACAAGCAAAGAGGAGGACTTGCCAAGATGCCCAGGGAGGGAGGGAGGGAATCCCCAAGGAATGCTGGCCCCGGGCAACCCCCCCCCCCAGCATGGATGAGGCATCAGAAGGGCAGCAATGCCGTAGGGGGAACCGAGGAAGGAGCAGCATTCCATGCAGAGGGCAGGTTCCCCAAAGGCTGAAAACGGCCTGCAGCAGGGAGCCTGGAGATGCTGCCACGAGGACTGGAGGGGGGGCAGGGAGCCCCTAGGACGCCCCTCCCTTGGCCAGACAAGGCTCCCTGAGGAGGGCAGCTGCTTTCTCCCTGCAGCCCCTGGGGGGGGGGAACGACCCTCCGCTTCTCTCACCAATGAAGTTCCTCCAGGTCTGGTGATCCTCCTTGCTGCGCCAGCTGCGTGGCCAGCCGACCAGCACCGTGTTGTGCTGCAGGCCCCCCAGGCCACTGGACTGGATGAGGTGCGACATGCCGTCCCGGACGTTGCAAGAGGTCACCACCTGGCAAAAGCCCTTGACCTTCTCGGCCTCCATCAGCCGATGGATCGACTGGGCGGGGGGAGCAGAGAGGGGGAGGTCATGCCCCTGCATCCGGGCAGCCCTTCTCCCGAGGAGCCCGGGGCTCTTTGGGCAGAGGGGGAGGTCTCCTGCAGCCGGTTTTCCTGGGCTCACCTCCTCGGCACGCTGGACCTGCAGGTGGTTGTCCAGGAAGGTGCCCTCCAGCACGGAGCCCACAATGGTCAGCCCCTTGCCGGCCTTCAGCTGGTTGGTGAGGGAGAGCAGCTGTGGGTGAGCGACGTTCTGGTCCTGATCCACCCGGACGAGCACCAGCAGCTGCGGCCTGGGGAGAGGGGAGCCGGAGGCCTTTAGCCGGGCCCTGGTGCCAGCCGAGCCCCCCCCCCCTAGTCTGTCCTCCTCTCCGCCTCTGAGGACATTCCGGGCCTGACCTGCCCCCGTCCAGCCACCTCCCTCCCCGTCCTCTTCTGCCCCAGATCACCAGCTGTGCCAGTTGCCAGAATAGCCCCCCCACCTCCTGTTGAGCCTCCCCCCCCAATTCCTCCATCTCTTCTTTCTTTACCACCAGCTCTTTCCCTCTGCAGAACCCCAGGAAGGCAGATCTGTGCCAGATCCTGCCAGCCCCCCCCTCCCCCCCGCGCAGGGATGCCATTCACACAAGCAGCTCATCTTTAGATTTGATCTCGGCTGCCGGGGTCACCAAGGCCGATCTGGAGCCAAGAGGGAGCTTCGATTTTGCTCCTCAGGGTCACAACGGCACTTTACGGTGTGCCAGCCCACCTTCCTGGGCTCTGGGTGCCACCCTAGGAAAGGGGCAGCTGCTGCAGAGATGCCAAGGCTGGTCCAGCAGGGCAAAATATTTGTATGTTAATTATATGTAAGGTGTAGGTCTATACCAGTGATGGCGAACCTTTTCCCATAAAGAAGAGGGAATCAAGCTCTTCTCCAAAGCGCCTGAAGGCAGGACAAGAAGCAACGGATGGAAACTAATCAAGGAGAGAAGCAACCTGGAACTACGGAGAAACTTCCTAACAGTGAGAACAATTAACCAGTGGAACAGCCTGCCTCCAGAAGCAGTAAATGCTCCAACATTGGAAGTTTTTAAGAAGAGACTGGACAGCCATTTGTCCGAAATGGTGTAGGGTTTTCTGCCTGAGCAGGGGGTTGGACTAGATGACCTCCAAGGTCCCTTCCAACTTTACTACTACTACTACTACTATTATTATTATTATTATTATTATTATTATTATTATTTTAGAGACTGAGTGCCCAAACTGCAACCCAATACCCACATGCATCGTCCAGTGCCGGGTGGGTGTGGCCCATTCGCCACCACTGGTCTATACATATGTTGTATATAGGATGTTTAAATATGTGTTGTTTATGTGTACACTTTGAGAGCAAGCAACTAAATTTCATTTTTAATGTTTGAGTAGCTGGAAGGGACCTTGGAGGTCTTCTAGTCCAGCCCCCCGTTTAAGCAGAAGAACCTGTACCATCTCAGACAAGTGACTGTCTAGCCCAGTGGTTCTCAACCTGTAGGTCGGGACGCCATTTGGGGTTGAATGACCATTTCACGGGGGTCGCCAAACAACGCAGTCCGCCATTTTTTCCCCCTTTTCCTTAGCTGTGCTACTCCCTTTTATTCTATTGGCTTTTGAAAGCCAATAGAATAGACTCTCTTGAATAGACTCTAATTCTATTGGCTTTCCAAAGCCAATAGGAATTGTCCAGGCTGTCTCTGCCCCTCTGAGCCTGCCAAAAGTCCCATTCTGCAAACGGTGCTGCACCAGGTGAGTAGTCCTCGACTTACGACCGGTTGAGTAGTCCTCGACTTACGACCGGTTGGGGGTCGCGGCATTAAAAAGGTTGAGAACCACTGATCTAGCCTTTTCTTAAAAATCTCCAGGGATGGAGCACCCACGATTTTTATTTTATTTATTTATTTATTTATTTATTTATTTATTTATGAGACTTATATACCGCTTTAAGTGCAAGCACTCTCTAAGCGGTGTACACCAGTAAGCAATGTATATATATATATTTTACATTGCCCCCAACAATCTGGGTCAATCTGATTTCTGTTCCACTGGTTAATTGTGCCATTGTGCCCACAGTAAAAAATGACAATAAAGGTCCCCCCCCTCTCTCTCAGACTCACCTCCAGTTCTTGGTGTGGGGCGGCCCCTCCTCCAACTGCAGCAGGGCGTAACGAGCTGCGCTGAGCGAGAGGCCCCGGATGCCATCCCCCCACTCCTTCTCTGCCCTGGAAGAACAAGCAGGGAGGGGCTCTGTGAGCTTTGCCCCACGCACCCCCCCCAGCATCCCTCAGGAGGGGGAGACATCCCCTCCCCAAGAAGGGGCAAGGCCCAGCCAGCCACCCCTTAGCACCACTCCTCCCTCCCCCCGAAAACAGTAGATGGAACATCCTGCCCACCTGGCAAGCCTGGCGGGAGGGGCGGGGGGCAGGGAGGGGCACTTACCCTCGGTACTCAATGTACTTGTAGATGAGTCCCGCGATCAGCATGGCCACCAGGGCGTAGTACCAGGAGCAGATGAACATCAGTGCCAGGCAGAGGCTCATGCCCAGGAAGGAGAGGGTCCTGCAAGACCCCGGGGGCCACGCTGAGTCACGCCCCTCCGGCCCCTCCCCCCAGTGGACTCTCCAGGGCTGCAGGACCCGAAGTGCCTCTCCCCCCCCCCAGGAGAGGGAGGGCACCCACCAGTGGTAGTAGCGAAAGCGTGGGCGCCAGTTGGGGGTCCTCAGCAGCGTCTGAACTGCACAGGCCAGGTTGACAAACATGTAGCACATCAGGAAGAACCTGGGGGGGAGGGTTGCTCAGCGTTGGGGGGGGGACAGAGAAGCTCCCTCCCCCAGCTTGCAAGGGGGATCCCTGGCCTCCTTCAGCTCCCCTGCCGGCCTTCTAGGCTCCGGAGGTGCCCAGTTTGGGGGGGCGTACATGGAGAGGATGGGGGCCACCTCGTCCAGGGAGGCAATCAGGATCCCGATCTCGCAGATGCAGGCTGTAAGCAGGAGGGCCCAGGTGGGCTCTCCACTCGCCTTGCCGTGGCCGAAGACCTGCGGAGAAAGCGCAGAGGGTTAGGTGGGCCAGACCGCTCTCAGCCACAGCCCACACTTTGCTCCCCTCAGACTAAATTCCTCCTCGCAGCTCCAAGCATTCCCAGATCTTTGGAAGGGGGAGGCAACAGCTGTTGCAGCCCCCCGCCCCACTGTCTGCCCCTTGCAAGTCCTGGCCCCCTTTGCTGTGGGCTGCAGTTGTCTGCCCAGACGGCCCGGACTGGCGGCAGCTGCCCAAAGGGGTAGAGGGCAGGGGGCGGTATAAGGAGGAATGGGGAAGGCGGGGCAGGCACAGAGCCTGGCAGTGGGCTATGGGTGGGCAGCTGGGGGGAGAAGACAGGAGAGAGGGGCAGCTTCTGCAGTTCCAAGAAGGCTCCACGCCCCTTTGCACCATTCAGGTGACCCTGAGGGCACAGATAAACCTCCAAGAGACCTCAGTGACTCCCAGAAAGAGCGCAAATGACCAGATGACTACAAGGAATATAAATCTTTCCATCCTCCACCATTCAGTCAGAACCGAAGAAGCTTCTGGGATGAGAAGCGAAACATCTTCAAGGAAAAAACAAAAAAAGTCTAGTTGACTTTTGAAAAAGTGGTTTGGGACAATCATGGCCTGGTTGCCTGAGAATCCCCACCTCGCTGCGCTGTTAAAGGTGAATGCGGGTGTCTTTTGTACGCAGACAATGCCATGTTGCTGGCTAAGAAAGCAAATGGTTTGCTGGGAATATTAAGTAGATCCCATGGAGGATCTGAAAATTAATATATCAGACAGAAATTGCTGTATTTGACCAGGAAAATCAAATAAAAGATGAAAATCAAATAAAAGATCCAGGTAAATGGATTTATAAACGTAGGTAGAATATTTACTAAAGATGTAGAAATTTTAAGAGGGGCAAATGTTGATAGAAAGATTATACGTGATTGTTATGAGGAATGGTTGTGCAGTCCTTGGTGCTCTCTGAGCCTGTTGGTATGAGAGCATAGCATCCGCCTGAGTGAGTGTGGGGTCTGCCCCCTGTGTGTACATAGCAGTTTACTCTACCAGGGTTGCTATGTGTTCTTTCTCCTTGGCAGTTCCTTGATTAGGGTATTGTTTTCTGTCTGACTGTTTGTCTGGTGATAATCCCTGCTTATCTGGATGTCTGGACATCACAGCAAGCCAGAACAGCAGAAAAGGGAAACAGACCATCTACACATCTTCCCCCCAAAATATGGATACCTGTGCAACTTTATCAAAAAGTGCCTAAGAGTCAAGAACGAACCGGTAATGAATGAATAGACAAGGAACGTCAGGATTAAAAAATTACCCAGATGGGGGGGGGGTGATCAAGAGAGGAGAAAACGAAGCTATTCGGTGAAGATGAGGGAAGGAGGGGATGCTGAAGACTCAAAAGCAAGGAAGTTGAGGCTGAATGGAGCTGATTAGACACTCTTAAAAACAAGAGTGAGGCTTGGATGGCCAGAGAGTCCCAAAGCGCTATAGGAAATCGGTGAGGGAGATTTCACTGGTTACACTCCATCCTGGTCCGCACAAACAAGCCAAGCCCCCTCCGTGGGATGCAGGCAGCACACAAAACCACACACTCTCCGGTCCGTGGAAAAACCTCTCTCCATGGAACTGCTCCCTGGGGCCCAAAAGGCTGGGGACATCTGGACTAGATGACCTCTGAGGTCTCTTGTAATTCTAGGAGACTGGGTGCCTGATGATCAGGGACGCTGCAGTAGCAGATTCCTCTCCTGCCAAGGGCTGGACTAGATAACCTCTAAGGTACCTTCCTGGGGAAGGGGCAGGTCTCGGCCACCAGGCTGCATCTAGCGGTGCTTCGAGGGAGGAGGCATCACTTGCAAAATGCTCCTTTCCAGGAGCAGCGATTCAAGTCGGCCACTCACTGGTTGAGTGAGGGGTGGCGGGGGGGGGGAGGAGGGGAAGGGTGATCCTCCCTCCCCCCTCGCTGTCTGTGCCCGAAGGGCGAGAGGACGGATGTCTCCTTGCATCAACCGGAGGCTCTTCTGTCTCCAGACAGACGTGGCCGGTTGACTGGGGGAGGGGGAGTCATCGCTCTGGCCTTGCGGAGGGCAGCTTCCCTGGACAGGCTGCAGCGGCCCCTCTGGGCCTGCCTGGCACAAGCCCGGCACAGGTCTTGCCCATTCTCAGCAGCAGCTTAGCTACTGGGGGGCTCCGTGTGGCCCTCGGAATCGGTGGCCACCCTCTGAGGTGCACAGAAGTGCCCACCAGCCTTTTCTTGGAGGTGGCATGTGTCAGTGCTGCCAGCCTGCTTGGCCCCACTGATGCTTGCTTCACTGATGCCAGACTGCCATGAACCCTGTGTGTGTGTGTGTGTGTGTGTGTGTATGTGTGTGTGTGTAGGGAGCCAAGGGGGGGGGGGGAAGACCAGAAACCAAAACCATTCCAACTGCCCGCCAGAGAGCTCGGCGGCTGACTCAGGGCCACAGACCTGGGAATGGAACGCAGACCCTCCCCGAGCCCACCAAGTACCAGAACTGTTACCAAAACAATCTGAATACAACTGGATGGTGGGGAGGGGGAGAAGGACCGGGACAGAGGAGCGGTTTTTGCTCACAAACTCAGTTCTAGCTTTTTCCTACCCCTTGTAACTGCTTGGCTTTAGTAAGTTGAAGGCTCTTTCTCCCTAAATGTCTGGTCCAACATTAGGCCCGGTCTTGCCCCCGGGGAGCCTGCCTGGCTGGCCCTGGCCCGCCCGCGCCCGCTCACCCCACCTACCCGGAGGAAGGGCACGATGCCGTCCCGCGAGATGGCTTGCAGCAGGCGAGGGGCCCCCGTGAGGCTCTGCAGCCCGGCTCCGCAGGTGGAGAAGAAGGAGCCAAAGACGATCACCCAGGGGGAGGGCCAGGCCAGCGTGCCCACCACCAGGTTCCCACTGACGGCCTCGCCGAACCTGAAAGGGAAGAGGGTGGTGAAGGTCCCTCCCTCCAGCCTCCCAGGGACCAGAGAGCCGTCCTCACCTTGGCCTGAGAAGGCTTCCCCTGCACAACTGCAGAGTGCCTTTTCCAGCTTCCCCCCTCCAGTCCCCCTCAGCCCTGAAAGCTGGTTATGCCACCTGGAGGGGGCATTGAGGCAGACCTGTGTTCCCCCCCCCCCGAGAGGCAGTGTGGAGGTATGCTGGTGGGAGGAGGGGGCCCTTCCTGGGGGGGGGGGCAGGCACTCACTTGTCCCGGAGCACCACGCCCTCAATGCAGGCGCCAAATAGAATCACAGAGCTGATGTCTGTGGGGGCGTGAAGGAAGCACCAACATCAGTGAGCTGTGGCACGGTGGCCAGGACCCCCCTCTCCACACAGTACGCAGAGAAGGCTGGCTGCCCCAAGGGGCCACTTTCCTCCCTGACAGCCCCCAGCCATCCCTCCCTCCCTCCCTCCCCCCATGTAGGCTCAGCTTTTGTAACCCCGCAGGGAGGCCAGCCCCCCCCCCGCCCCCCAGAGAGAGGCTCTGCCCTCGGCACCAGGGCCTGGCCTAGGGCCCGATGCACACCCCACAGAGACTTTGGGGGTGCCTGTCCGGAGCAGCCCCATCACTCTGTGACCCATACGAAAGGCTCTTGAGGTGAGCTGGAAAGAGGCAGCTCCCTCCGCCTGGCAGCTGCCCCGTGCCAGCCTCTGCCCGTGCCAGCCAAGGATACAGACGGCCGAAGTGGTGGCGATGGCGAGGATGGTGCCCGTAGGGATCGACTTTTGAGCATCCCGGAGATCCCCAGACCGGTTGGAGCCAGCCATGATCCCTGCAGAAAGGAGCCGGAGGTTCAGGTCTGCCGTCCTCCGGTTAGGGAGGGGCGCCCTGCCTCAGAAGCCCCCTCCCCCAATCTAGGCAGGCAGCAGAAGGACCAGAGGGAAAAGCTCTGGCCCTGCTTGTGTGTGTGTGTGTCTGTGTGTGTGTGTGTGTGGGGGAGAACGGCCAAGGCCCAATGCTGCCGGACTCCTGGCCAGAGGCTGGGCTGGGCCAGGGCAGGTGGAGGAAGAGCCTCAGATCAAGGGAAGATCTCACGCTGCACTACCTCGGAGGGCTGGTGTCCGTCTTGCATGTCTGAAAGCCCCCCTTCCCTGGTCCAGGCATTGTGGGGAGCAGAAGGGCCTCCGGCCAGCCACCTTCCCAGGAGCCCCCCACTCAGGCTGACCCGGTGGGAGAGCCCCCCCTGAGCTGGGGGCCAAGCGCTGGACGTCCGCTCCAGGAAAGGGGGCCGGGATTCCCAGCCCTTCCCAGGACAGCCTCTCACCGGTGACGGAAGGGAAGTAGATGCCGACCAGGAGGGTAAAATAGGAAGTCATGTCGCTGAAGACGTAGGGCTGCTCCAGGTCCAGCAGCCCCTCGGAGGTGGGCACGGAGGCCATCCCCGCCCGCTCGATAACCACCCCCTTCGGCAAGTAGGTGCTCCAGAGGTTTTCTGTGAAGAGAGCAGGACGCAGCTCCAGGACCCATCCTCCCCTGCTGGGGTCCTCCTCACCACACCTTCCTCTCCCTCCCACCCCCAAAATAGGATTACTTCCCTGGAAAGACACCCCCACCCCCTGGACGGTGGAGGCTTTGTGGATCAAGTGGAGCATCCTCTCCCCCAAATCCTCCACCAGATCTAACGAGCCCCCTGTGGACGGCGGCTCTTCCCCCCCCCCCCGCTGCCCTCAAGAAGAGGGCCCAGCTGGCATTCCCCTCCCCCCATGAATCAGGAGACCCCAGCCCACGAGGGTCCCCCCCCCCCGCAAGAGGCTCCTTGTACCTTGGATGAGACTGGAAGCTGCTCCAGGGATGCCCTCAATCTCCGTGACGTTGTTCTGGCTAAAATACTCGTCGCAGGTGGCATTCAGCAAGCGGGAGGAGCAGAAGAGCGCCCACAGTTCGGAGCCCATCGTCTCGTTGCCCACCTGGACCACCTTGGCACACACGTCAAAGCCGTGGCGGGACAGAGTCCGGTTGCCCAAGAGGCAAATCCTGGCCAAAACACACGAGCTGAAGGGAGGCTGAGGGCTGCTTGCTGGCTCCTCAACTTGGCCGGGCAAGCCCCCCTCCCGTTCCACCCCCTTTCCCTCCCCATCTCAGGCAGTGACAGCCTTTGCAATGGGGCATTTCCAGGCAGCCAGCTTGGGCCTCAGAATCTAAGGGGTGCCTTGCACTCTGCTTCTCCCAGGAGGCCTCTCTGCCCCCCCCCCAGAACAGCCCAGCGTGGAGAGGGCTTGGCAGGGGGGTGGGATCCCCTTGTGCCGTCCAGCCTCTCCTCAACTCCTCCGGAAGCCGAGTGCAAATCTCTAGGCCCCCAACCGCACTCTGGCCCTGAGGTCCCTGGGTGGGAAGATGGGGCCGACGTTCCTGCTGCCCCTCACCCCACTCCCTCCCTTGGGGCAAGGGAGGACCCAAGTAAACCGGTGCTGGAAGCAAAAGGCAGGAGGAAGAGAGAAGGAAACACCAGAGGGGATCCAGTTTAGGGCAGCTCTTCTGGGCATGTGCAGAGGGAACTTCGCCTCTGCCTTTCCTCCCTGGGATCTCCCCCCTCTCTTGGGCAGGATCCAACCAAAACCTGGCTGTCTCCTCCTCCTCCTCCTCCTCCTCCTCCTCCTCCTCCCTCCCTCCCTCCCTGCAGCTTCACCCACTGGCCTCCCACTCAGGGCCAGGATGGGACCCCTCCCCTACCCCAGCCAACTTGCCAAGGGAAAATTCGCCCCAGGACAATTCAACAAACACAAAAATTAAATTAATTTCGATGGAACTGTGGCCAATAATAACAAAATAAAGTCAGTCCAGAAATGCAAGAGTTACAATAATTTTGACAAAAACAGTAAATAAAAGTAATGGGATGAAATGATTAATATACAGTTGAATTGTTCTGTGGAGAGTTGTCCTAGACCAAAGGTCCCCAAACCCTGGGCCACAGTCCACTACCGGGCCGTGGCCAGTTCGGAAGTGGACCGCGTGAACAGCGGGCTGGCACAGGCACGCACCAGCCCCGCTTGCCCGGCCAGTTCCCCTCCCCCCGGGTGGCCAAGCCATATAGGCTGGGGACGGCTGTCCCAGACCCTTCAGTGCTGCTCATTTGGTCTCTCTAATCCAGAGACCCCCAACCTTTTGGGCACCAGGGACCGGTTACATGGTGAGAGGTTTTTCTGCGGACAGGAGGGTGCGTGATTTTGTGTGCTGCCTGCATCCTGTAGATGGGGCTTTCCTTGTTTGTGCTGCGGCCCGGTACTGGTCCACTGGTACTGGTCCACTGGTTGGGGACCCCACTCTAGATGGCCAAAGTGCCTCCAGGGGCTTCTTCCTGATGGACAGACCCTCCTCCTGCGTTCAGTCCACCTCGGTTCAGCCCCGCTAATTCTCAGCCTGATCCCTTTTGCCACCCCTGCTTTTTAAGCGCTTCCCTGGCAGTCAATTGACTTCACTTCAGCTGTCATGCAGCTGTCAATTTCCCTGTAACCAGGGAAGGCTCTCATGCACCCCTGGATTCTCTTTTCAACCAGGTTTCCTTCCTCATCACAGACCACAAACGTCTCCTTCCAACTGCATCTGCACACCTTACAACTTCTCCATCCACTTCTGACCCTTTACAAACACTCCACCAAAACAACCCCATTTATTTTTTCACAATTGCTGTCTAAGTTATAATTCTCTGCTCCTATTTCCTCATCCAACACAACAGCCTTCCTCTTGATATATTGATTTTCAGATTCTCAATCCTCACTGCAACACACAATTTGTGGCAAATCCTTTGAGTTTTTAATCAGCAACAGAGAGTCATCCGCACATCTGCTCACATCTCCGATCAAGAGACCTTTAATGTCACAGGTTTCTTATGGATCCATTCATAAAAGATTAAACTGGGGCATCACACATCCTTGTCTCATTCTTAATGGGTGCTGAACCTTCAGCTAAGCATCCCATCTTCTCGCTCAATTTTACTTCCTTTTTGCTGGGTGCATTCAGCAACCGGCTATTAACTATTCTTGTTTAACATTTTCTAAGTCAAGCCTATTGACTCAAACTGCACCTTTTTTCTAAAATTAATAAGCATGCAGTAAACTGCATTCCTTAATGATGTGCTAGAGAGCAAAAACATGGTCTGCTAATTGTCGCCTTTTGAACCTGTTCAGGGTGAACTGTGGGAAGCCCCTTTGCAGACCCTCCCAGACCCAGCTGTTGCCCTTCCGATCCCAAATTCACCCTTGCCCCATTTCCCTTGTTGCACAGGGGAGCAATAACAGCCTCCTTCCAATTCAGCCTCCCTCCCTAAGCCAAGCACACCCATAATTTAGCATTTTTCCAGTTACACCACCTTTATCTTACATTTTTTTAGCATTCTGACACCACTTCTGACTTCCTCCATTTTTTTTCCCTTAGGCACCGCTCTAGATTTGGAACAGTCACTTTGGTTGCGCTATCGCTGTCACTCTGGTTCCCAAAATCTCCGACTAACGCCTCCCTCACTTCCGCTTCATCCCTCCCCGACACTTTTATTTTTAATTCCGTGCTCTTCACTGGAGGCGCCTTGTGCTCTAATTCGGTGCCATCTTTCATTTCCATCAACGCTGCCCTGCATTTTCTCTGCATTATCTCCCGTCTTAGCCAGTCCTCGCTCTCTCTGACGGCATCCTCTCCAGCCCTGTTCGCGCTGCATGGGATCCCCTGGCTGGTCCTCCCTTTGGGCAGCTCTGCTCTGTTCTCAGGCACTGCTCCCCCATCCCTGGACACCCACACTTCAACGAGAGCCTCCCTCCACGCACTTCTGCGAACACCTCAACCACTTTCCTTTTTGTCTCTTTCCATATGTCCATTAATGCATTTTACTGCACATCTGTGGCATCACAACAGGACGTGGTCCATGTGACTTTCGATGTTCGGACATCTGCCTGCTGTTCTCATCTAATGTGAAAAGGGCTCAAAAGGCCGGCCCTGCACATTCTCCCTGCCCCCCCCCTTTCCAGGTGTCCACGGGGGGGGGGGGGGAAAGAGCCTTGGATTGCAGCCACCTGAAGCACCAGCTAGTGATGGTTATAAGGCCCTTCTTCCTGGTCCTACCACTGATTCCCCAGAGTGGGCTTTGCGTAGCCCTTCCTCCTCTTTCCTTACCCAGAGAGACTTTTGCTTTGGGCAAATTAAAGCTGAACATGCCCAGAGACCAACTTTCATCTAACGGGCCAAGTCTAACTATGCCTTTCTGGAGAAGGGGACGGCTGGACCGCCTTTCTCCAGGGCCTGCGCCTCAGGGCTCATCTGGGCACAGCTGCCATACTCAGTGTCAACACTGTTCATATATGATATTATTGCTTTGACAAGAAATACAGATTGTGTCTGGTATTTTTAAAGTTAATTCAGATGACAGAGTGAGGGAGGAGATTCATAAGGAAAGCCTGGGAAAAAGGAACGGAAGTGAATCTTTGCCCTCTAGACTAATTGGAAGATGTGACTTATGACTGCAAAATAAGGGAGGGGTTTAGAAAGAAAAGCAAGAGAAATTCAGATTCTGGCATAAACCTCCATGATGTGCCATCAATTTGTTACTGTTAATAAAGATTTTAGGATAAACATGCCTGGAAGTTCTTTGAAGTGTTTCATTAGTCGGAACCATGACACTCAGTGCTACATTTTGAAGAAGGGTGAAGGAATCTCGCAGGAAGCAGCTGGAGGCATTTTCAAACTCCTCGGGGTGCAGCCATTGCCCCCACCAGCTGGTGCCCACTGGAGATGCCAGTCGCTGGGCTCCGGCCTTCCCCCGGGCACCTCACAGGACACGGGGAAGCCGGGCGATGGGCAACAGTGATTGAGACGAAGGCAAGGAGGGCGGAAGAAGGCTACGTCCTCCTGGTCAAACCGCCGGGCAGACGGTCCACCCGTCTCCGGCCTTTGCAACCATCCCAGGAGAGAGCCAAGAGACCCCAGCCCCCCCCCGGACCAGCCAGGCACTTACGGAAAGGAGGGGGGGTCGATGGCAGACTTGATGACCCCCGCGTAGATGGCCAGGATGGAAAGGATGACGCAGCCCAGGAAGACCAGGGCAAACTTGTTCACGTACTTGACGCCCACGAAGACCACGGTGGCCATGCAGGTGAGGACACACGTCCCGTAGACCCTCATGTTGTTCAGCAGGGCGGCCGCTTCCCCACTGGCATCCTCGGACTTGAAGATGGCCATCGGGGGGAAGATGTAGGCCTGAGGGGAGGCAGGAAGCGGGTCTCAGGGCTCCTCCTTCCCCAGCGGAGTGCCTCAGGGCCCTCCACACCCTTCCCTTTTGACCCGTGAGGCTCCCCACAAGACTTTCTGGGTCTTCCGGGTCGTATCCGGAAGTTTAATGAAGAGAAGGACGAGGGGGGACATGATAGCAGCCTTCCAGTATCTCAGGGGCTGCCCCAAAGAAGAGGGAGTCAAGCTCTTCTCCAAAGCGCCTGAAGGCAGGACAAGAAGCAACGGGTGGAAACTAATCAGGGAGAGAAGCAACCTAGAATATAAGGAGAAACTTCCTGACAGTGAGAACAATTAACCAGTGGAACTCCTTGCCTCCAGAAGCGGTGAATGCTCCAACACTGGAAATTTTTAAGAAGAGACCGGACAGCCATTTGTCTAAAATGGTATAGGGTTTCCTGCCTGAGCTGCTGCTTCTTCTTCTCCTTCTCCTTCTTCTTCTTCTTCTTCTTCTTCTTACTACTACTACTACTACTACTACTACTACTACTACTACTACTACTATCATTATTACTATTATTATTATATCCAAGCCGGCAGGAGCCGCTCAGCTGCTCATCCTTTGGCCCTCGAGGGTCACCCACCAGGGGAGGCAGAGGGGAGGGAGAGACTCCTTGCAGCCCTTCAAAGAGCAACTCCCCCCACGGCCAGGTTTTCAGCACGCGTGTGAAGAGGGGGCTGCACGTTTCCCTTTGCCCAGTGTGGATATTTATTGGGGGGCATTAAATGCAGATCGCTGCTCTTCGTCACAACGGATCTTTCTGTGCTGGTCTTCTCCCACCCGACATGTAATATTGTGGCTTTCTCCAGAAGTTATAAACTGCCAGCGAGCGAGCGAGAGAGCCAGCCCTTCCCCGTTACTTCTACATTTGCATGGATTAAGGAGTATGGATCATTTTGCCCCCCCCCCCCGCAGATTATTCCTAAGCCTCGCTGGCCCCCCCCCCCGCATGGATGGGAGGGGGCGCTTTGAACTGGGAGGCCATTAGGATTGGGGCCCTGCCTGGAGGGAGGGAAGGTTGGCTGGGCTGGTCTCGGCAGAAGCCCCTTCGGGGGCTGCCTGCCCAGTGCTCGCCCGAGGTGCCCGATGCCCCCTTGGTCCCTGCCCAGAGAGGCTCCCTGTGGCAAGGCTGGCAAAAGCCGGAGGAAGCCGATTTGCCCAGCGGGAGCTTCTCTGGAAGGGACAGACCATGGCTGGCTTAGAATCCTAGGGCTGGGAGGGACCTGGGAGGTCGTCTAGTCCAACCTCCTGCTCAAGGCAGGAGTCCTCATCCCATCTCGGTCAAGGGCTGTCCAGGGAGGCATCTCGGCCGTTGGGGGTCCTTCCCATCCCTGAGGAGGGCTCTGGTGGGCTTCCTGCAGAGGGAATAGCTGGGGGGGGCTTTGATGTCAAACTGTGGCTCTAACGCTGTGCTCCCTTACAAAGGCCACCGGCCTGAAGGGAAACGTGGCTGGGTGGTCTGGTGGCAAAACATGGGGGGGGGGCAGTTCTGATAGGGGGACCTTTGGATCAACTGAAAACCTCAACAAGACATTGGAAAAAGAAGGCGAAGGGATTGCACCTCAGACCCTGCAGGACCTCTGCCCCCACGGGAGGGGTGGCTGGGCTTGGGGCCCTTCCTCCAGGGAGGGGCTCTGCTGGAAGGGCCCCTGGGTCTCTCAGAGGAAAGAGGGGGGTTACATTAACCTTTGCCCCGCCCCCCATGAGGCTTTGTACCCTTGGGGGCACCCTGAGCCAGAAGGGGCCAGCAAAGGAATCCCGGCCCCCATCCTGGGGAGCAGCAGCAGGGCTTGGCAGAAGCCCCCCCCCCGTCGTCCCAGGAGCAGCTGAGTTTCCCCCCCCCCAGTGGCTGTGGGTCCCAGTAAACACGAAGCTTCCTGCTTTCTGGATTTTGACGAGGGCGGGACGGAGACGGGCGATTCGCAAGTATGAAAAATGGAAGTCAGAAATTTGGCTTCCTGTTAATTTATTCACCCCTGACTTCGCTCTTCTCTTATGTCCTCTTATTTCGGATAAGATGGCTACTTCTGTCCTGGCAGCTGGCACCCCTTAGAGCAGCGGTTCTCAACCTGTGGGTCAGGACCCCATTTGGGGTCGAACGACCATTTCACGGAGGTCGCCAAACAACGCAGTCCGCCATTTTTTCCCCCTTTTCCTTAGCTGTGCGACTCCCTTTTATTCTATTGGCTTTTGAAAGCCAGTAGAAGAGACTCTCTTGAATAGAGTCTAATTCTATTGGCTTTCAAAAGCCAATAGGAATTGTCCAGGCTGTCTCTGCCCTGCTGAGCCCAGCAAAAGCCCCATTCTGCAAACGGTGCTGCACCAGTTGAGTAGTCCTCGACTTACGACCAGTTGGGGGTCGCGGCATTAAAAAGGTTGAGAACCACTGCCTTAGAGATTAGCTTGTACCTCCTTGCAAGAGGGGGGGGGGAGGAAGAACACTGAGACGCCCACCGGCTGAGCCCAGGCTGAAGCCCTCAGCTCCAGCGCCTGGCCAGCTCCCTCCGGGCTCTGCCGCTTCCCTTTTGGCGCAACCCCGGCAGTTCGGGTGGCGACAGTTCAGAGACGGTGTCAGCCAGGAAACTGGCCTTCTCAGGTTGCCCAGGTCAAGCTCGTCCGACCGACAGCGGGGGGGGGGGGCGGCGTCTGGGAAAGCTGGAGCTTTTCTCGGCTCTCAAATGACAGAGTTATGTAATACGTAAGAGCGACTGGCTGCGATCATTTCCCAGCTCTGCTGTTTTGCTCCTTTCCCTGATCAAAGAAACCTCAGGGATCCAGAACATTTGGGGGGAAATTAGCTCGCATCCTACTGTGGAAAATCCTTCGGTGGGCGCCTCCTTCCTGTCCCCGGGCACTTCTGTGCAGACCCCGGGTTAGGGCGTGGGCTTTCTCCCACCCGGGGGGGGGCCTTGCAAGCATGACGTGCAAATGAATAAGGAAACCGACGTCCCTCCCATTTCTGCCTCGACCTGCTTTGAGAATCCTCGCATGGAGAAGGAACGGTGCCCGGCCTGTCGCTGGCACAAACCGCTCAACCGGGTGAGCAGAAGAGCTCGGGGTGGGGGTGAGTGGGCTCCCTGTCTCCCCGGGCGCTCCCCCTGCCTGCCAGCTCTCGGCTCCTTGAGGCAACCCGAAAACTGCCCCCTTGAGAACGGAGTTGAGTTGGCCGTGTTGTGTGAACAGCCTCAGCCTCCAGGAGGTGAGTGCATTTGGCTCTCCCGTTTCGTTGGCAGCGACAGGGGCAAATGTTTGCGTGCCAGCTTCTGGCCCTGCTTTTCTTCTGGCAGCTGCAGGGGCACCCAGGGCACCTTCCCCACGTTCCCTTCTTGTGCCAGGAGGCCAGTGCCCCCCCTGGCAGAATCTCTGCCTGCCCTGCCCTGCCCGCCCCCTCCCTCCCACCTCCACTCACCAGCAGAATCTCTATGGTGCCCAGGATGTACATGGCACCTGCAAAGGTGGTGCCCAGGTAAAAGCAGAGCCCCACCGCTCCCCCGAACTCCGGGCCCAGCGAACGCGAGATCATGTAGTAGGAGCCACCGGCTGGAGAGAGGAAGGGGGGAACCATTACCCAGAGTGACCCCTGCGCTGACCCTCCCAGAGGCCACTAACGCACCCCACTTGGCTGCACCCCTCCCCAGGTGGCAAGGAAGCCGCAGGAGGGGGAGGGAGGCAAGGCCACCCCCAGAGACGGAAACCCCTCCCTCTTGGGGCAGCCTCCCTCCTCTCCATCAGGAGCCCAGGTAGATGCACCCCATTAATGTGGCCAAAGAAGGAGGGGGGGAGGGAGCTTGGATCCAAGATGACCTTTACACAAAAGACGGGGGGAGGGCTTCTGTGCCGGCCACGATCCTTGCCTGTGCATGGCTTCGGGCAGCCCTCCCAAGTCCCTCCCTTTGGGGGGGCAGGTGGGTCTCCCAGCCAAGCACCCATCGCCCCCCCCGGGCTACCCACCTGGCACCACTCCGTTGGTGGCGATGGCGCTCATGGAGATGGCCGTCAGCATGGTCTGTGGGGAGAGAGGGCAGCCGTGTGGGCCCAGGCCGGCGGGGGGGGAGCCCAGCGGCCCCTGGGACCATGTGTGTATGGCGGGGGCTGGGGGCTTGATTTGGTTGATCCCCAGAGAAAAGAGAGACCCAGAAGGCATGGGGTGTGTGTGTGTGTGTGTGTGTGGAAGCAATTCTTGAACTGATTCTCCAGCCAAAGGAGTAGGGGGAGGGGGGCCGCTCGCTAGTCACTCCTCCAACTGCAAGACTTTCAGTGGGGCTTCATGTTGGGGACCCAGAAGCTTCCCCCACGGTGTTCATTGGGAGTAGCACCTTCCCTGGGAGCCCAGAGCCCATGGAAGCCCCATCTTTGCGGGCTGGGGATCCCCACAGCCAGACTCAAGCACACCCTCAGACAGCCCCCCCCCAGCACATCCGTTGGCCAGCCATGAGCAGAGGGCAGGCTGAGGGCTGCAGAGGCCACGGGAATTTGCACCCAGGGCTCTGGGGGAGAAGCAGCTAGCCAGGCCTGGTTGCCCAGCTCTCTCGGGGGGGGGGGCTGCCACAGGACAGAGGGGGGAGGATGGGAGCCGGGGTGAATGGGCCATCAGGGCTCAGCTCCTGGCAGGCTCGTCCGCCCAGGCAGCTCTGAACCCGGCCCAAGCATGGCTGCCCTTCCGGGTCCGACTGGGCGGCCCACCTCCTCCCCCGGGGATCCTCCCTGTGGGCCAATGGAGAGGGGGGAAGCCTTCATCACGGTTGCAGGCTGGGCTACGGGCTGGACACCGTGCTCAGGGGCTGAAGCAAGAGGAGCACATCTGGCCAGACCCTCCCCTGCCCGCCCAGCTGGCAGCCCCCGGCCAGAGGGGGACTCACGCAGGAGCAGCAGAGTATAACCATGCAGAGGGACTCCATGATGCCCGAGATGCCCACCACCCAGGTGAGGCGGAGGAAGAGGATCACGCCGAAGATGTTCTGCAAGCAGGGCAGGTAGACGCCCATGAAGGTGCCCATCCGCGTGGCCTGCAGGAAGAGCACGGGGCGTGAGGCTGGGCCCAAGCAAGGTGGGTGGGTGGGCTCCCTCCCGTCCCCCAGCAGAGGCCTTCCTGCCCCGGCCCTGTGGATTCATTCACCAGGCAACTGGAGAGGACCCACAGGCTGGGCATTCTCTCACCAGCAGAGAAAGAATCGGGCTGGGCTGCAAAACCCCACACCACCACTTGAGGCAGTGTGGAGAACAAGAGGGAAGGCTGTGCTCAGCTGCCCCCTCCTGGTCATCCAGGCCCTGCAGCCCAGATCCGAGGCCTGGAGGAAGGAGAGGGGAGTGGGTGGATGCGGCTCTTCTGCTCCCGTCTGGCTGCTCTGTGCCCCCCCCCTCCCGACCTGCCCGCACCTTGACGGGCTTCTTCTTGGCCCCCTCGTTGTTCTCCGCCTCTTCGTGCTCCCGGCTGCCCTGGGGCAGGTTTGTGTAGTTGGCCAGGCCGCTGAGCAGGGAGGAGACCATGGGGCTGGTGTCCATCTCCTCCTGTTGAGGGAGCAGAGGGAGGGGAGGGCTGGGGGCCGCTCTAGGGGAAGCCCCTTGCCCCTCCCACCCTGATCCTCCAGGTTCCTGGGGCCAAAGCTTCCCCTGCCCAGGCAGATGCCCCTCGCGGAGCCCTGGGTGGGCTGCTCTGACCATCCGGGGGCCTTTCGGGCGAGAGGAGGAAGCTTCTGCAGGCCAGGCCCCTGGGAGGACCCCTGCCCCTCCCCCCACACCCTGCTGACCTCAAACAGCGCCATGTTCTTCCCATCGTATTCCTTCCCCTTCTCCAGGTCGGTGCTGTTGATGAACGGGCTGCTTTCTTTGGGGTTTCCATCACCTGCAGGGGAAGAGAGAAGCACTGAGACCGACATGCTGAACGCTCGCTGGGCTGCTCCCCATTTTCTTTCACCAGCCTTGCGGGTCCAGGCCCGGCCAGCAGCCCTACGAGCCCCTTCTCCAGAAGGTCAGGCCAGAGTGGCTGGTGGGGCCCTTTGCTTGGGCACACCTGTGGGGCCCACATCCCCTTTCTAGATCGGGTTTCTAACTCCAGGCTTGCACCAGAGAACCTGCACAGCTGCCTGAGCTGGAAGGGTTTGACCCAGGAGGTGACCTGAGAAACGGAGGACTCCTTCTCGGAGAGGAGGCACCCAGAAACCGGAGCTGCCCCAGAAGAGCTGGGAAACTTCAGCCTTTGGGGGGCGGAGGTCCTGATGGGCAACATCTAGTGCCCGTCCCAATCACTTGTCGCGAGGCGGCTGATCTACCCTTGTGCCCAGGTTCAGCAGGTCTTCCCTGCCTGCCAAGGAGACTTTCTGAGGGATCTTGGCTCTTCACCTGAGAAAGCCACCCATCTCACAGGACTCATTCCCCCCACCAGATGGGTGGCTAACATCTGGAATGGCTCCAGGCACTCATGCCTCCGAGTTCCCCAATTCAAGAGCCATGGGACACTCGAGGTCCCACTTATGGGCAGGGGGACGATTTCTGCAAAGGCTGGTTTGCTGTGTGGGGAGAAGACACTTGCCCCAGAGGTGTCCCTCTTGGGCAACTTTAAGACCTGTGCACTTCAATTCCCAGAATTCCCAGGCAGCATAGCATAGCTGGCCGGGGAACTCTGGGAATTGAAGTCCACAGATCTTAAAGTTGGCAAAGCTGGACCCCCTATACCACACAATGCTCAGAGGAAGGAGAGAAGCCAAGCCCCCCCATCCCATCCCAAGGTTTCCCACAACACCTTAACACTCAAACAGTGGCCATGTCTGCATTCCACATCCCAGCATGAAAGCTACACTATTGTATTGTGGGATCTCTCTCTCTCTCTCTCTTTCTCTCTCTCTCTCTCTTACACACACACACACACACACACACACACACACACACACACACAGAGTCCCTGGGACAACAGGCTTTCCACAGCCTCACTGACTCTCAAATGGCCTCCTCTCGCCTGTCAGGCCTTCCCCACCTTGGGGGGGGGGGCTGAGTGAGGAGAGGTCTGTCAGAAGAGAGATGGACGCATTGCTCTCATCCAAGCAGGCTGAGCTCTTTAGTGATGCTCAGAGGTCTGCTACTCCCCCCTTAATCAACTAATGCATATTTACAGAGCGAGTTGCCACTTAGAGCCTCATTGCTAATCCTCCTTGCAGAAAAAAGGCAGGGACCCCCAGGACGGAGTTTCCTGGGAGCATCTCTGCTGACTCCAGAGTGGGGGACTCCTGGGAGCTGGAAATGGTGGGCAGGGAGGTGCTAGAAATCCGAGTCATGTGTGAATGGTGGCAGGCTTCAGCTGCTCTGGCCTCATCCACCCAGTTTTGCTCACCACGGTACAAAAAAGACGTTGAGAAGTGCAAGAAGAGCAACTAGGATGATTAGGGGACTGGAGGCTAAAACATACATGCAGGAATTAGGCCTGTCTAGTTCAGGGGTCTGCAACCTTGACAACTTTAAGACTTGTGGACTTCAGCTCCCAGAATTCCTCAGCTGGCTGAGGAATTCTGGGAGCTGAAGTCCCCAAGTCTTAAAGTTGTCAAGGTTGCAGACCCCTGGTTTAGTTTAATGAAGAGAAGGACTAGGGTAGACATGATACTGGTAGCGTATTCCAGTATTTGAAGAGAGGGGGTCCACCTCTTCTCCAAAGCACCAGAGGGCAGGACAAGAAACAATGGGTGGAAACCATTAAGGAGAGAAGCAACCTGGAATTAAGGAGAAATTTCCTGCCAGTGAGGACAATCAACAATGGAGCAGAAGTTGTGGCTGCTCCATCACTGGAGGTTTTTAAGAAGACACTGGACATCCATTTGTGTGAAACGGTATAGGGTCTCCTGCTTGACCAAGGGGTTGGACTGGAAGATCTCCAAGGTCCCTTCCAGCTCTATTCTGATTGATTGATTGATTGATTAAGGAGTGGGGAGGGACAAGAGAGGGCTCCAGGGTGATTCATGACCACACCTGACTCTGGGACTTTAACAGCCAGCTCCCCTTGTATAGAAGTCTCCCCCTCCTCTCCCAGACTCCGGACCCAGGGTCAGCCACGCTGCTTTGTGGGTCAGTCTGGGGCCAGGACTGGCCTAAGGTCCCTTTGGGTCAGCCAAGGGGAGGGCCGTGTCTCTCAAGGACCTTCAGCGTTGTGAACTCTGCTCTTTTCTACTTGCTGTTCACAGTTCATCCCTTGCACACACAAACACACAGACACACAGACACACACACAAATACAGCAGTGCTATGAATGGTTCTGACAGGCTGGAGAACATTGGGACCTCCCCACCCCACCCCACCCCACCCCACCCCCATGGGGGATGCAGCACAGGCCGTTCCTGGTCAAGAGGCACCCAAGCCAAGCTTGCGGGGGTCACAGGCAACTGAGCTTGCGGCAGTTGTGGTCCGGGGGGGGGGGAAGTGGTGGGTGGCCCAGGAACTTGGGAAACTGAAACCTGTGTGTGAAAAACGCAACCTGCCCCTCAAAGTTACAGGTGGTCCTCAACTTACGACTACGACTGAGCCCAAAATTTCTGCTGTTAAGTGAGACAGTTCTTAAGCAAGTTTTGCCCCATTTTACAACCCTTCTGGCTGCAGTTGTTAAGTGAATCGCTGCAGTTTATAAGTTAGTAGCCCGATCGTTAAGTGAATCTGGCCTCCCCACTGACTTTGCCTGTCAGGAGGTCGCGAAAGGGGGGCTGTCACCTGACCCTGGGACACCGTGACCGTCGTAAGTATGAACCACCTGCCAAGCGTCTGAATTTTGATCACGTGACCGTCGGGATGCTGCAAAGGTTGCAACTGTGAAAAATGGTCATGCCGCTTTTTTCAGTGCCGTCGTAGCTTTGAGCCGTCACTGTGCGAACTGCCGGGGACCAGCTGCACCCCACGGCAGCCCCCATTGGCGCTTGCTGGGATTCTGTGTTAGGAAGCATGACGACTGCGAGTGAAACGGGAAGGCCAATTGCAGGATCGTCTCTTGAGAAAAGGGCGGCCCCACCTCGGAAGCAAGGATTCGGCAGCAGATCCCTGAGGATCCTGGTGGATCAGGTGAGCCACCAGGGTCAGAGGCGTTCAAAGGAGCCCTGGAGAACAGTGGCCTGTTGGTGGCTTCGCACTCTGAGCAAAACCAAGGTTTAATCAATCAAACTGACAGATTCACACCTTGTACCAACCAGCTGAGAAGCAAGACAAGTGTCACTTTTTCCAGGACTTTCTGGCTGGGCTCCAGGGAGAGGCCAGCTGAGCTTCCCTGGTGGCCTCTGCTCTGCCAGGTCCAAAGGAGCCGCCCAGCCTTGCTGCCTTCCACTTGGACCCTCAGCTTGACAGCCCCCCCTGGCCTCTTCCTGGAGGCCCTTCCTGGCCAGGGACCCCCTGCTCAAATCTCTAGAGGCAGGGCTGCCCCGCAGGGGGTGCCAGCCCCCCCCAAAGCTCCAGCCCGAAGCTGAAACCCCAGGGGGGGCTCTGCTTTGGCAAACATCTGAGTTCTGATGGGGTAACTCAACATGCCAGCCAGCCTGGCCCAAATCCTGCTTTCCATCCGGGACACTTGGAGAAATCAGCTACACAGGCTGATAAACAAAGTTGGAAGGATCTGGAGGGATTCCAGATGCCTGGGAAGTCCTTGCAATGCAGGGTCTGCAGCCCCTATTTCCTGACCAGGGATGCCCAGCTTCTGCAACATATAACACCATGGAGGATTTAAGTCCCCAGAAAAGGCCAGATGGGGCTCCTGGCTGTGATCTTTGGCGAATCACAGAGGACAGGAGAGGTGCCAGAGGGCCTGAGAAGGGCTAATGGGGAAAGAGGACCCCGACGTCTGCAGACCTCTCAGCCGGACATCAACAACCACCGGAGAAAAGTTCAGATGAGTCGATTTGTGAGCATTTAGCAAATCTTTTAGCACGAGTTTAAATCATGACAAACAAATCTGGTCTTATTTTTGTGAGCGCGACCACTTTAGTTGACATGGGGAATGCAGTGCCGTGGACATAAATATGTAGACCAGCATAGCTGACTCAGGAATTCTGGGAGTTGAAGTCCACGAGTCATAAAAGAGCCAAGGTCAAGAGCCTATCCCTGACCTAGACTTTAGCAAAACATGGGACAAAGTCTTCATGAGGTTCCAGTGGGAAAAGAGAACGTGTGTGGGCAGACAAACCACCATTAGACAAGTACTGTGCTATACCGTACAGAGCTGGGCAGAAATCAGGCGGCGAGGAGAGTTCAGTGGGACATCCTGATTGGTCCCCTGTGGTGACCATCATCTTTACAAATCACGAACAAGAGGGATTAAAAAATACAACTGATAGAAGAGAATATTTGTAGGGTTGAACTGTGAGGCCCTGGGTGCTCTCTGAGCTTGGATGTTTTCTTGCAGACATTTCACGACCCAACTAGGTGACATCCTCAGTGCTAGAAGGGAGGGGGATTATGGAGGAGGAGGAGGAGTGTGGGGTCCTCGGTGTTCTCTGAGCTGGGTTGTCTTTTGCAGACTTCATTACACAACTAGCTAATCTCATCAGTGCTAGAAAGAAAGAGGAGGAGGAGGAGGAGGAGTGTGGGGGCCCTTGTGCTCTCTGCGCTTGTTGATTTTCTTGCTGATGTTTCGTGACCCAACTAGGGAACGTCATCAGTGCTGACGATAGTTTGGTAATTTGCAAGAAAATCACCAAGCTCAGGGAGCACCGAGGACCCCACAAAAATACAACCGTTACACTCAGAGATGATGTAAACATTGGGGAGAATCAGATGTGGGGGACAGACAGGAGGATCTTGACCAGGTAGAACAACGGGCAGAAGGCAGCCAAGTGAATGTCAGAAACCCCAGTCCTACCTACCAAGGCCTGAGTATGGAAGGGG